AGTAATTATGTTTAACAACAGTAAAATCACTTCATGTCAGCCTGATAATGTAGTAATAGTGAACGGCCAGCCAGGTTTAGTCACTGATATAAAGGATGATGGACTACTAAAATTTAGGACTTTCACTGACCCACGCAATTACTTTGACGATCCTTTCCCATCTACTGATATTAGAATCTTTAGGTGCTCCGTAGTTAGCCATGAACACACCCGGATATCGGTTAACGACATAGATTGTAAATGTATGGCCATAAATTGTATGAATTATCTAGTTTTTATCCCATTGCTGCATACTTGGCTGTAAATGCGTTTTGTTTCACTAGTGTTGAATAAATGGCGACAAATAATTTACTTACGTCTTATGTTATTTTCAGCCCGCTAACAAGAAGTACGTCATTGTTGACGTCCTCAGCAAAAAACAACTGATGATAGCATCCACGGAGTGGATAATAGGCAAGGAACTTTGCGCTTATCCGAACGAGCTTGTCGATATACACCTTCAGAAGTGCGACCAACCGAATGAAAATTGGTCACTTATGAAATGTAAAGTGATTCACGAATTAGGTAGGTTACATACACAGAAAGCATAATTCACTATAGATTCTCTGCAGTCGGCAAAAGATCTGTTAGTTGCCCTACAGATACTGGAATCTCAACGGAAAAACACCTCAACGGATGAAAACACTTTGCCACTTAACACTGAGAAGCCAAAGAGGTCTGTACAATAATCTTACTAACATTTCCTAGAGGTGTAATGAAGCGTAAAGAAGATTTTCTTTACAATTCAGTCGACATGGATGTGGCTGAGATGCAGGCTGGGAATAGCCGCGTACAATATCCCAAATTCCGTGTTTTCGAAAAATTGATATCGCCAATCGCCAAGTACGTTTAATTACTATTTAGATATTCACGATTTAGTTCGACACAATTAGAGACATCACCATCCACATCGGAATGTTAGCATATTGGTGGCGCTTTAGTGGACCAGTAGGTAACCTGCATCATCTAGTGACCCTTTTCAGCTGTGATAGGTTGTATACTGTGGTGCTGAACATGTCGTCAGCTATCAATGACTTGACTAAAACGATTAACAACATATCGTCCGCCATTATGGACTTGAATGTTAATGTAAACCAATTGCTTTCAAAGTCTAATGAGCGCGAAAGACCGCATCAATTCGATTGCGGACTGTCAAGTCAGCAGTTCCCTTTGTCATCTGAAGAGGAACTACAGATGCTAGATACTGGTTTGTCGCAGTAAGAAACCAGGGACATATTTGTAAGTCATTAACATGAATTTAATAATTTGTTATTATTACAGATGGCAATGGTCACTAGGTTATTAGGTGACGATCCAAAAACGTCCATGCGTTTTGTTCTGTCGCATCTGCTGACACCGGAGGTTGCCAGTAAATTCACGTTACTTGGCACCTCTTCAAAACGAGCACTACAGAAATGCACGTTTTACAGCTACATACGAAGTAACCTATATCTATTACTTAAACTTCAAGTGCCTTAACTCATCGCTTTTTGTCATCCTCTGTCAACGAGAAAGACCTTGGTAAGCTCTACGACATCGCGACACAAGGTTACTTTCACGACATCCGAGACAATATGATAAAACGAAATAGAAGAAAAGAAAATCAGGTATGTACTAATTTAAAGTGATAACCTCCCTACGGCTCTATAGTTACAGTCAACAATACTAACGAACATAACCGTGAGTTCAGCTTCAAGTATTTGGCTGTGCAAAAGCATGTCATTGAGATATGGTTGTGACTTTTTTTTTGTTTTTTTTTTAAATTCAGAATTCACAGGACGACTACCTTAATTCTGAACAGTCCGTGCAATTGTTTTGATGTTCTACCTCGATTTCAATAAACATTATTCTTTCAAACAGCTTACTCTTTTACTTACATGGGAAACTGTTGAAGTGTTGAGAATGTGTGTTTGAGTTTCAGTGAACTTTTGATTAAATGCACATTTCTTATGAATAAATTATAACCTGTTCCTTCTTTTTCAGATAATTTCAAATAACAATGAATTAGCAATTGCATTGGATATGCATAACAATCGATGCTTAAGCTTGTGCTCTACTGTTGTATAATAATACGCTTTTCTTTTTAAATAAAATTTTTAAAATATTTACCGCTTCTCCACTGCATTGCAGATATATTTTGGTCTGTTGTTGAAAATAAAGGCGAACATAGGAGACCTTTGGGGTTCTGTCGATGGATAGAAAATAGGAGGTAATGTGTGTAATTAGGCGAAAAGTAGACAATTAAGCGCATAAGTAGGCAATTCAGCGGATATTTAGGCGATAAGTCGGTAATTTGTCGACAAAAAGGCGAAAAAGGGGAAAATCCGCATTATTTCCCCCGGACAGGCGAAAAAGGCGACATTCTGATGCGTTTTCCACTTTCGCTACCAAAGCATTAACCGCTTTATTTCCCCTTTTTGTGTTGCTTGTGAAGTGAAAACGTAACTTAGTACAAACACATAGACACACAAACTACTTGGGTATAAATGGACGAAAAGCATCCGTAAGGGATACTTAAGTGAAAATGTCATTTCTTATGATAAGATTTTATCATAAGTCTGAAAAAGAGCAAAATAGTCTACGGTGTGATGGCTAATGGACTACATATAGCAAAATAAATATTCTGAACAAATCTTTCTTGACGAAGACCATGTTGACCAATATAAGGCCCAAAACTGTGTTTTTTATTCAAGACAGAAGGAAAGGTCATAAAACAGTCAAAGAATTACCGGTAAATATAAGGGTGACACGAACCATCCGGAGTTGAAGCCCCGCGTTCCTACGAATTTTAAAGAAAGCTCTGTAAGAACAGGGTTTCAATATTCATTATGCTTTGTAACATCAACAGTATTGTAAGATAGAATCAAAGTTTGATTTGTGATTACAGATTGATTGATTGTTTGGATTTATAATCTAAATTGAACGGTTGTATGTAGTCGGAAACCAATGGGCATTTCTTCGGAGGATTCATTTCGGTGTCGATTTCAGAAAACTGATGTAGTTGCTCACTTTGTTTGCTCGGTCCGTAATAAAAGATTTGGAATTTCCGTATGCCTAAAGCATTAGTACTAAATTTAATCTTAAAGTCTGAATCTAATGCATAAGCGAACGACTATGGTACTGCTGAACAAAACTGTGAAATAATATCAGTTTTAAAGATAAAGTCCGCCGAACCACGAAGCGAAACTGCAGAGAAACATAGTTAAGGCTTGTCGAATGATTAAAAGCTCAAAAGACAATCCAAATCCAACGTTTGCAGATGTGAAACCAGGTTATCCTAACAATATAGTGGGTCAGTACAAGAAATAAGTATATTTTATTTATAATTGATCACTTTACGAAGTACTGTGAAGCGATCCCCGTGCAAAGTTTTTTACAAAGACCAGAGTGAGAGAAGTTAACTTTTATCTTGTGACTTCTTGTCACGTTTTGTGTTCCGATATGGTCGTGAAATTACTATTGTGTTTCTGTTGAACTATTACTATACGTCCTACGGATTGTTGTTCTTTTCATTACAAAAGTGAAAAAAAGAAAAGAAATTTCTTATGCTTAGATTACTGAAAGCGATTGAAAGCAGCGCTTAAAAGATGGGGAAGCAATATGACATTAGCAACATTGTAAGACAAAATCGAAGTTTGATCTAAAATACTGGCCGACTTGTTGGTTGAATCTTCACTTTTGATTGAACAGTTGTAGTTTGCTGGATGCTAGTTGAAGTGATAGTTTGTGCGCATTCCATCGGAGGATTTACTTCACTGGCGATCTCCAACAAATTGATCGGTTTGCTCATCACAGCATACTTGACATGCGATATACCTCCACTTGTAAGCTAGAGTTAATACTTCTTAAATATAAATGAGTATGTTTATCCCGGAACCATGAAGTTACTGGGAAAAGCAGCTTTAGCATTATCGGACTGGAGAAGTTTTTTTCAGTACGAAAGATTGTGTTTTGCCTATGTGACCTAAACCAGTACATGTTTTTTCGAGTTTGGTTAAGTTTGATCAGTTCCAGGTGAACCAACCAATATTAATCTTCTCCCTGTGTATCGCATGTAGTATGACAATAACCTCAGTTCTCATCGTCATGGTTTGTTTGGAGCCAACTGATACTGAACTGTACTTTTTCGGTTGTCCTGTAGTTGTCTTGTTGGACTAACTTAGTTTTAATGGCACTGGACATGGCTATGAAGGACGTTCCTCAGGTTCTAATAAACCCGAAGGACTCAGGTTATGTTCTCTCGATTTCAGAAATCCACAGACGACAGACTGTGATACTCACTTTTTATTGGGTGTAACGAGTGATGTAGTGATAAAAAATCAACTTCGATAGTTTTATCCACAGCTAGATCGCTTGATAACGGTTTTACTAATAGATCCTGTAATTTTGTATTCAAACGCATTTGATTGTACCGGCCTATCCTCTCGTTCACTACAATAGTACACTCCAGCATAACAAGTGTTATCATACATTCATCCAGATTTTAAAAAAGTATATGAAAACTAAAAGACCAGTAAAAATCTAAAATAATATCTGTACTACTGACAAATTTAAAAGTAGGTTAAGTATGAAAACCAAAAAAATAATCCAGATTCAAAAGGAACGTTGAATATCAATATTTTTCAAATAAATGCTTATTTTACAACATTCTGTTTCAATTTAGATTCAATTATATAAAAACATTTGAAAATATACAATCAGATGGTGAAAAAGATAAACTTTTCCATTTCAATAACATGATACTCTCTTTATTTGTTTACAGTTCATTGAGTTCACTTTATTACCATCCCCATTCTTCTATATCTATATCATGATCATGATATTGATTCATAAAGAAAGATGAATAGTTGGATCATGAATAAAGAACACAATTGAGTTTCACTATACTAAACGAAGGCAACATTGTTGAAATATATGTGACTTCCTATTTGTCATGATGTAGTTCTTCTTTATTATTATTATTATGACTTTTGTTTGTGTTTTTTCAACTTCTTTAACTTAGATTGATATTTTCTTTTACTACAATGTAATTTGGAAGATATTTTAGGTTTCTCATTTACATTACTACGATTGTTATTATTATCATTATTATTTTCATCAGCATCATCGTAAACGTCAGTATCATCTTCACCATACTGAGGTATAATGTTTGTATCAAAGGATGATGATGGATGTTCAGGGAAGATACATTGAATAATGACATTGAAGATGTCATTAAAGATGGTGATGAAGATATGTATGAAACTGTTTTATTTGTATTTGACATCAATATTGTTGTTTCTTCTTCTGATAACAATAAAAATGCATTTAATAATTGAGAACCAAAATTCATTAAATCAATTGGTCTTATTTGATGTTCAATAACTACTACAGATTCATTTGAATGTTTTCCTTTTATTGTTCTATTATCATTATCTTCTTGTTGGTGTTTTTCTTGTATCTTACTTGGAATTAACTGATTATCATACCATTTACGGTGAATACCACAATAAGAAGCCTCAATTGTATAAGAGCGTACTACATTGAATTGTCGCCAAACAGCTATACGTGCTGTAGTCTCTTTAGCTTTACTAACCATATATCTGAAATTATAAAGAAAAAAAGTATGATGAATGAAGGTTAAGCAAGAGATATTGTGAATTGTTTGACGTTAAACACTAAAACCATTGAATGTTAGCTTAGTTGTATAGATGTTAACTGATGACACACGTTAGATCAAGGAGTTCCTTTCGTTGTAAATGGTCTTTAGTTGCAGACTGGGACTAAAGAATACCACGATGGGGTGGAAAGGTCGTCCATTAAGTCTAGGTTTCAATGTTGGTTTAGCTTGAATCAATTCGTGAAGTAATAAACAGTTAGGCAAATGCAAGGGTCAAAAAATAATTAAAGGTGTAACATAATAATAATATTATGTATGTATGCATTATTATTATTGTTATTTAAACACATTAATACTGGTACAATGCGGCATTCTATACATATGCACAACACAATTCACGTGATTTGTATGTAGGCTGTGATAGTGCCCGGGTGTTCAGACCGAAGCAGATGGTTTTCTTAGAGGGCCACACACGGAGCCTTCGAGCTAAAGGTCTGATCCACAGGGCAATGAAGCAATGTCAGGAGATGCAGTCCAATCGTAGCTGGTGACCGACAAGAGATTCAAACGCCATTTGTTCAATTAGGATCGTAGAGCCCATGTTCATTATTGGTTTGAAATGAGGGTTTTTCAACTCTCCTAGGTGGATCCTCTATATCTACTAATCTGGTTGAAACGCATGCCGGACATTACAATATGAACAGATCAATTACATTGAAAGTAATGACTGTTGGACATTTGTGCGAGATTCAGATGACAGTGACATGTAGTTTGATGCATGTTTAAAGTTAAGTAAATTTTGGAAACATTTAGCAACAAAAAAGCTTAAAATTTATAAATATAACAAGACTAATGAATGGGGATGAACTTGAGAGATCCTAAAGGTAACTCTATAAGGAAGGGGATTAGATTTTGATGATAAAAATAATTGAGAATTAATAGGACTCAAACTAATGAGACATTTTAATATGAGTAAAATACTTATGAAATTAATGGTTGAATTCATAAGCTAGACCATCGTGAAAAACCTGAAAACAATGGACGATCATTTTGTCATTGTATGGGACCTTCGGTCTCGTATGAAAACACTTAACCTTTAGATAATTAAACCGGCATTCAACGGTTTTAATGTCTAACTTCAATTGATCTATCATTTCGCTTAACCCTTCATCCATTGTTTGAGGTAGATAACTATCTCACACCCGACATGGATTGGACTGCACACACTGGTGACAGCTCCTCACGAGGAACTCCAGGGAAATACATCTTGAATCAATTCAAAGAAGAAACTATTAAATTGAATGATGAATCGGTTAGAATTTTGAAAGCTTTGTAAATATGAATATAAAGTTTTAACTCTTAAAGGAAGAAATAGATCATAATTTGATTGAATGATAAAGTATTTAGAAATGTATTCTTGTTCATAGTTTATGACCTAAAACTAGTCCATTCATTAATCCTCCCTTCACACACACACACTTACAAACACACACACACACGTACATGTACATAGATTGTACAAATTGGAATAAACAAACTTTATTGACACATTGAATTATCTTATAGATAATGAATAAATCCCATATGAAGTATCTAACGGTTAAAATACACTCTCTGTCTTCCCTTAAACTAAGAGATTAAAATCACTTCATATCTTTCTTTCTATCAACTAATTCTTTCTTCCTGCACTTTATCCTTATATGCCATCTTTCTTTTATATATTACCACCACTACTTCTATGAATCCAGTGTTCACCTTGTTGTGCTAATGCGGTATGGCAACTTGGACCGATGCATATATGTGCCTTATCCTACATTGTAGCTGACTGACTGACTAAACATAGAGACAATATAATTTTAGGCATATCCATAAAATGATACATTTTAAACTACAAAAAAAAGAAAATGGATAAGAAAACAAACTTTTGCATCGTTAAAGTTTGATATGATTGTCACTGTTTACAGTGATTTTACTCCTCATAAAGGAGCGTTACATCGATCATTGGCATTCTGCATTTAATTCTATCTTCGGCAATCCTTTCCAGTTCTTATTCATTTCCTTTGATGTTTGTTTCCAATTCCTGATGTAATGTGTTCTTTGGTCTTTCTCATATTTATTTCCTTTCAGGATTTCATGTTAGAGCTTGGTATCGTGATACAGTCTGATGATTTTCGCAATGTATGTCATTTCTACTTCCAGCATCCTTTCTTCATTTCCTCTTTAGATGAAAGTTGGTTTGTTCTCTTCTACCGTAGGTTGTTACTGATGGTATCCGGTCAACGGACATTAAGTATCTTACGTAAACAATTGTTTATAACTACTCTATTATACAACTCCTTCTTATACTGTTCTAGGATTACTACCGGGCATATAGTCAGCAATCACATCCCTTAGAAAACAACCTTGCTAGAAAAACGCTGAGTACTCAGTCATATCGCTAGATATTTAGACATGGGGTTATTAGCCACATACCACTTAAGTTCAACCATATTAAGTGTAAGGCAATTAATCACCGATGATATAAAAAGATGATATTTGTGTAATATTAAGAAGTGGTTACAATCAAATAGTTACTCAATGATCCAAGGGTTAAACGAAGATTCTATGATCTACGATTCGATCGTTTTGGTGATGGGTTTGTTGGTCGTAAATGCTTGTTGCCGAGTTGTTCAACACTGGGATGAAACAAGTGCTCATTGGTTTTTGGTTTCTCGATGGTTATCTAACCATGATGTAACCTTTACAAAATTCAATAATATTCACAAACACTATGGTAACAATTTAAAACCTGGAAATTTATCAACTAATCCATAACCTAGAAAATAAAGTCAATAGAATGAAAGTTTAGGGGTTGTGGAAATTGTTATGTTTTTGATTTAGATCATGAACCGATTGATGTTAGACCACCACTGAAAACGTGGAAGCACTGGACGGTCGTTTCGTCCTATTGTGGGACTCCTTAGCAGTGCGCATCCACGACCCCGCTCGCGTGAGTTTGGTATATATATTAGCATAACAACAGAAATTAACTTACAAACATGATTGTTTTGAAAAATATGGTGATAATTGATTTAATATATCAGCTAATTTACGATATGAATTATCTTCTAATTGATTGATACCACGATAAGTTGGATTTTTTATATCTGGACATAACCATGATTCAATGGAACTACATCCATATAAGAAAATATTCTTCATACGTGAATGACCATGGAAATCAATGAAAATCTGCTCATACATACATACATACATACACACAAACAAACAAACGAGAAAGAAAGAAAGAAAAGAAACAGAAGTATAAATAAGATTACGATTAGCAACGGGAACTGATGTAGCAATTTTATGAAATGTCTTGATATTCAAAAGTTCGAAGTGAGATTCAATCAGAATATTCACAGTATACATGAATGAAGTCAATTAGTTAGTATAGATAATACACTTTAAATATATACTCACTCAATCATATTATTCCACTTCAAGGGAATATAAACACTACGACGTGCCTCAGAAGATAGTCAATATCATACAGAACTCATATGATGGATTACACTACAAAATTGTGTATGGAGGAGAATTGACAAAGTCGTTCGAAGTAAAGACCGGTGTCAGGCAAGGTTGCTTACTCTCACCCTTTCTCTTTCTCCTGGTGATCGACTGGATCATGAAGACATCAACATCTGAAGGGAAACACGGGATACAGTGGACTTCTAGGATGCAGTTAGACGATCTAGACTTCGCAGATGATATGGCCCTTCTATCCCAAACGCAACAACAAATGCAGGAGAAGACGAACAGTGTGGCAGCAGCCTCAGCAGCAGTAGGTCTCAATATACACAAAGGGAAAAGCAAGATTCTCCGATACAACACAGCATGCACCAATCCAATCACAATTGACGGAGAAGATTTGGAAGATGTAAAAACCTTTACGTATCTGGGCAGCATCATTGATGAACAGGGTGGATCTGATGCAGATGTGAAGGCGCGGATCGGAAAAGCAAGAGCAGCATATTTACAACTGAAGAACATCTGGAACTCAAAGCAACTGTCAACCAACACCAAGGTCAGGATTTTCAATACAAATGTCAACACAGTTCTACTGTATGGGGCAGAAACCTGGAGAACTACGAAAGCCATCATCCAGAAGATACAGGTGTTTATTAACAGTTGTCTACGCAAAATACTTCGGATCCGTTGGCCGGACACTATTAGCAACAACCTACTGTGGGAGAGAACAAACCAGATCCCAGCGGAGGAAGAAATCAGGAAGAAGCGCTGGAAGTCGATAGGACACACATTGAGGAAGGCATCCAACTACGTCACAAGGCAAGCCCTCACATGGAATCCTCAAGGTCAAAGGAAAAGAGGAAGAGCAAAGAACACATTACGCCAGGAAATGGAAATAGACATGAGAAAAATGAACAAGAATTGGATAGAACTAGAAAGGAAGGTTCATGACAGAGTGGGATGGAGAATGCTGGTCGGCGGCCTACGCTCCATTAGGAGTAACAGGGGAAAGTAAGTAAGTAAGTAAGGGAATATAAAGAATATTTTGATTAATACTTCATAAGGGAGTTGAATAAAAATGTAATGTTACTACTCTTAATATTATATAACATATTCTAATATCATGAGGGGTTTTGTGGAAAATTTAGAAATTTCAATAGTCGAAATCATGAATCAATTGAAGCTAGACTATCATGGAAAATGTGGAAGCGCTGAACGGCCGTTTTGTGCTAGTATGGGAGTCCTCAGAAGTGAACGTCTAAGATCCCACCACTCTGAGAGATTCGAGCCCAGGACCTATCAGTCTCACGCGCGAGCGCTTAACCATTAGCCCATTGAGCTACTAAACATAGTAGCAATATAGTAGTCATCCAGTCAGAAACTCAAAATATGACTTTCTGACTTCTAGATGTTTCTGGCAAAACTTCACTTTAGTGGCCCGAGATCTGACTCCAAGGAGATCGTAATGATGATTGTTGTTGAAATATGTATGTCGCCTATCCTCGTATATAATCATCGACTTAAATCGCGTTAATCAATAACGAAATTAAATAAGTCAAATAACGAGAATGAACTTTTCAATACATATATTTCGTATATGAAGCGAATGGAATAGAGAGAAGAAAAACGGCACACAGTGGAGATGGCCGGTAAGCCAACTCCCATATAACCAAGCGTTAATCAATATTTATAGTTACACAAAAGTAAGTTACAGCCATGTGATGAGTAATGGGATAAGAAATGTACACACACTAATGCGCTCATACAAAAACAGTCAAGATTGATAAGCGAATAATTAACAACAAGATCAGAATGTGACTCCAGTAGGATGAATAGAATGGGCTGTCCGAATGCTAGAATAAGGTATATGGGCTTAACATAATAACCGACACTACAAGGAGGTGCAGTCTCATGGTAGCCGGTCACCAACGATTGGTTCGTACGCCATTTGTTCCTTCAGGATACTGGAGCCCATGTTGACTAGTGGACTCTCAGTGTCCACCAACCCGGTTAAAGCCTCTGCTGGACATTCGATTTTCATCGTCTCAATTTCGTAAGTGACATTAATGCCGCGAGAAGACAGTGAGTAGAACTTCCCTGACAATGATTGTAAGCACGTGGTCATGTGACAGCATTTCGAGAGGCGGGAACGGACTCTCCCCACTCTCGACCGTACCAGGGCATTTGGGGGCTATGATGAAACTGATTTCTTCTTCTTCTGTTTAATTGGTCTGATTAATTATCAGAGCTGTATATATACAACCGAATTGGACAATGAATTACATAATAACCCACATCAATATATATATCAAACTGACTTACATAAGGTGAACGTTCACAAAATGTAAGAAGTTCCATTAACATTTTAGTATGATAAATAGTTGGATGAATTAAAGATGATGGATTAATCCAATGACGGTTTAAATCTTTGCCAGATATTGAACATCGATGACTTCATAGACGAAACATATATATAGAGATATATGTATGACAGAAGAAATGAAATCAGTCAAACAAAAATAATAAAAAACTGTGTAATTGTAAAGTATTTGATTGAAATCATAAACTGATTGACGTTAGATCACCATTGGAGACCTGAAAGCATTGGACGACCGGTTCGTTCTGTTGTGGCACTTCTCCGCAATGCTCATCTATGATCCCGCATGTGAGATTCGAACCCATAACCTTCAGTCTAGCCCGCGAACACTTATTACCTAGACCATTGAGCCAGCATCCAACAGTGTTAATCTTTAACTTCAATTGATCCATCATCTCGCGCAACTGTCTCATACACGATACGGATTGTAATCCACTTGTCACAGCTTCACGACGAGAGCCCCAGGAAATACATCTTGAAGCTAGTCACTAGTGAGTACATGATTATTATCAGAGTGGGGATTTGTGGAGAGTGTAGTAACAGTTGAATACATGAGTCGATCTAAGCTAGACTACCATATTTTTGTCATATTGATTAGTAGACTCTCAGACTGAAATACATCATATTTTCTTATTTTCTAGTTTTTGTTTAACTCAGAAATCGTTTTTGTATTTTATTATCGTCAATTGATTAGTCCGGTTTTGTATCACTTCCTAATTAGTTTCGTTGTTTAGTCAGATACTTCAAGTATATTATTATATAAGTTTGAGTTATGATTGGATTGAATACAATAATGAACTAATCTACTTCCCATCTTCGCCCTCTAATTGGACACTGGAGTTCGAAGGAGCTTGAGGACCAATAAGCGTTAGGATCTTGCTTGTTGTTTCTTGGTCGATTTGTCAACTGGTAAATAGGTCACCAGTCCTTCTGGCAATATAAGTAAACTAATCGATGATCAGAACAGAGGAAGAAATCACACAACCAATTTCCAGTTATTACAACCCAATCACATGGGATTCAATACAACTCAAGAAATCTTTATTTCTTCGTCGAAATAACAGGAGGCATCACTATTCATATTAATCTGTTCTCATATGTTTTTCTATTCTCAAACTATTCCAATTTTATTTCCTATGTGCACCAGTTTGATACATGTTGTGAATTCTTATTTATGGTGCATTATAGTCTTGTATTTCATCAAGTGAATTTCTGAGTTAGATTTATAGAGGTTAGATCGACTGTCTACTTCCTATCGTCCAATTGAAGAACTCAGTGAAGTGTCCAATAAGTCATTCCATATCAGGTCATTTAGACGTTGTATCTTTCAAGTTCGAGTCGGTACATCTCAAACACTTACCATAGTCTACAGTTACAGAAATGTCGAATAAAATAATAACATTTCTGGATAAAATTAAACAATTTCGGTGAGACTATAATTTATGGACGACCTTTGAGTGACGCCAAAGTAACCTTGAGAGTGTCTACCTAGTTACCACGGCTAAACGAGGGTTATAAAACAATTTGAAGAATAAATATTATGATTCATAGTTGATGCTTAGGGTTAGGAATTAGATTTAGCGTTTTCATCACAAACTGATATCAGCTATTAATGCCAAGACTCTATTCCGCCAAATGGATGAATGAATTTCGCGCCAAAATCTAAAACCTGTTATCCTCAATCTGATTGGTTCATTCATAAATTATAATCTCATCATAAAATTCCCTTGACAACTAACTGAATAATACTCACTTTCCAACAATGACACCATCAGGATTTAACATGGGGATTATTTTAAAAATGAACATTTTACGTAATTCATTGATTTTCATATTATCATTAGATAATAATTGTTCTATTAAACCTTTTATTATCCAACTAGAATTTGATTCACCTGGATGTACACGACATGTAAGAATGATGTATGGACGTTGATTATTGATATTTGTAGATTCATCTAATTTAGAATACAAATTGTTAAGAAATGATGTAATAAAGATTAATGCAAAGGAATTCAAGAAGATACTGAAATACAAATGTATTAATGATAAGTCTTGTTAATTTGAACGCTTTATTCGGTTCCTAAGCTATTCTGGTAATTCGCAAGCTAGAAACTATGCAGTGACTTGAATTCGAAAGAAAAAGCCCGCAAAAAATACGGGTATTCATAGATGTTCACATTTGTTAAATCAACATCATATTTTGACCAATCCGCTGAAAGATATATTATGCTATTAACCAATAGCAGCACCCCACGTTGATATTCTAGAAAGCTCCATCATACTCTGATTGGCTAGGACTCTTCGGCTCCTTTAGGGCCTCTGGAGGCTCCGTTGCAGTTCTCGGAAAGTCGAATCAACAGTTAGTCTCATACATTTTAACAAAATTTAGTCAGTCAGTCAACAACGTAGAACTTCGTACGTGCGTACATTCCCTAAAATGCCCTGGTACGGCTGAGAGTAGGGAGAGTCATCTCTCCCTCTTCAAATGCTCTCACATGGCCACGCGTATACAGCCGATGTCAGGGGAGTCATACTCACTGCCTTTTCGGACCACGGGTATTGTTTACAAAATTGAGAGGACGAAAAGCGAATGTTCGGTGAGGGCTTTAACCGGGTTGATGGATATAGAGAGTCCACCTAGGGAAGTTGGAAAACCATCATTCCAAACCAATGGTGCACATGGGCTCCATGATCCTATTGAGACAAATGGCGTATGAACCAATCGTTGGTCACCGGCTACCATGGGACTGCATCTCTTTACGTTGCTTTAATTCCTTGTGGACCAGACCTTTAGGTCGAAGGTTCCGGGTGTGGTCCTTCCTAAAAAAAACCACTTGCTCCGGTTTGGGAACCCGGTCAGTATCACAGCTCTCACACAAGTCAAATGAGACTAGTGTGGCACATATGTATCTAGTGCTCCCTTCTACCATTATCTATGTGTTCAAATAAATAAATAATAAAAACCTGAGTACATCAGTTGAAGTTGCCATACTACATTAGCACAGAGATACAATTGTTGATTCAAATCCCATAGTGGTAGAAGTAGTAAAAGTATGAGCAGTAATTGGGAAGATTAGAATTTGAAGATGTTACTCAAGGAGTATAATCCAGTGGAAAGAGAAAAAAAGGATATGAAGAATTCAGAAGATTAGAAATTGGGAGAACACAAAGAGTGAATGCAACTGTGCCACTGCGAACGATTTCTAATCATGTCATTCAAGGTAAAAATATTAGAATGAATAAAACTATTATTTGGATCATGAATTGATTTTGGTTAAACATACATTTAAAATAAAGAGGAACTGGACAGTTGTTTTATTTCCCAAGTGGTAGTGGGCATCCACAACTGAAGTGAGTTTTGAACGTATGACCTCCAGTTCTAGTGACAAATGGTTAACCTATAAACTACTGGTTCAACATTTATTGGTTTGAATTCTTAACTTTAACCTATTCACAAAATTGTACAACTATCTTCCTTGATGTTTAAATAGTCATTTGTTCACTAGCGATCTATTTCAAAAGGTATTCTACATAGCTTTAATTAGAAACCATCGCCAGTGGAGTTCAACAACATCGGGCGTTAGACAATTGCCTTTAAATGGTAATGGAATGAGCTTTCGCAATACCACATTTCATCTCAGTAGTCCAATAGTTTAAGTGCTCATAACCAAACATCAAAGTCTCAGATCATGGATCTGGATAGATCGTGAATACCATTATAGCATGAAGCAAGTGTCCGATGTTTCATAATTTTCACTGGTTGTCTAGTTTGTATAGGAAAATTAATTTCTAAAAAAAATGCTCACCTGAAGAGTCCGAAGTTTGTGTTACTGTAATTAATGGGACTGGATTGGAGAGGATAGTTGAAGTTAACTGTTGAATACGAAAGTAAATATTGTTTGGTTGGTTTAATATTTTATTTTGCCATTTGTTTAAATCAGTTAATAAACGTGTATAGGTATATGGATAATGATAAGCAAGATAGCAGACATCGCCAGTATATGGAAAGCATATCGTGAATGTAGCTGTATAATACGTTCCACCATCCACATTACCTTGAAAAAACAACAACAATGATGATGATGATGACGAAAGTGTATCATGTAAGTTAATCACTAAATTAGAGATACATTGGGTTATGAGAGACCTATTCAACGTTTTAACTATGACGCTCTGAGGTCGTCAGATTTAGCCACAGATAAACACATTTCTCTTATAAACTTGTTCAATCATAGATTAGGGAGAGCGAAGATTGAGAAACGACTAGGAAGCAAACCAAATAATATTGAAAAATTTCAGCGCATTGAAAGCACGCTGTTGGTCGAGCACTTGGAGGCTAGTCGAGAAGACAGTTCAGATTGTGGGACACACTGGAAGATCTAAGTGAACGAGCGAAGGCTATGTATGTGTATTATGCAAATACATTGTAACTCCTCGCAATAAATATACATTCTTCCTATCAATTGTCGTGTTTTACAATATGTACAAATCTTATTAGTGTGTATAAATTCTTCCTTCCGACATAGACAAGGACAGGTAGGCGGAGACCTTGATTGGAAGCATAATTGGCTACATTCAACGATGTGCATTGTTTATCATTTTATATTGATGATGATCATAGCTTCTAACAGCACTGAATAACATAATCGCTAGAAATATGCTTCTATTCAGATCAATAAGTAGAATGCTTATGTGTATCTTGATATCACTCAATCGACCTTATCAAATATATAGCTTATAGAGAACCTACCAAAAATTGGATGCACATACGGTAGTTCATTGTAAGGTTACCAATCATAATAAATACTACATCTTATGAACTGACCATCATCACCACAAGACATAACCAGGCAAGTCAGGATGGAAAAGTTAAGATTGACCATAAAACATTGTTTAAAATAGGAGATTCAGAATCCCTTTCATAGAAGAAAAGTGAACATAGAGCAAGCAATTTGGTATTGGTTTTTAACTCTAATACAGAAAAATTGTAGTCATGCATAAAATAGTTTCAATATCTTGAGTTCTTACAGAACAGAAATAATAAGCGGTTAGACAAAACAACTAAGATCTTGCCAAAATAGTAAGATGTTAGTAGATTTTAACCCTTTCAGTATCTGGCTAAGGATTATGAATCATGCCTCTTTGTCTGTTTAAATAAAAAATATGAAGTAAAACTAATCAACTAATTGGAACCATACATTCAGTAATATAATAAGAAATTCCTGCTGTTACTCATGAAGGTCTATCTCTATCTGTAACACGATTACCTGGGATGTTTTGAATGACATTGATGTTAATACTTCTCATGATTTTCTAGTTTGTACATGATCGATTGAGTGGAATTGCTAGTTAACACAATCAATCAATCAATCAGTCAAATGAGTGATGAAACTAAATATTCACTGAATTTGCAGTGAATTTGATGCTTACTTCAATATTATAGGCTCTATCATCAATAGCCTTATCAACAAACACTTCCACAATGACTTATATATATACATACACACTTACACTTACGAGTTGACGGTCGAGTAAAATAGTTTCTATAATAAATAATATTTGAACCAACACGTCGCCAGCATGGATGAGATTGAAGTGATTCATGAACTGAGAAAAGAAGAGGCTGCATACCTAGAAATTAATTGTAGTTAAAAAAAAGACTTTAATCTTCAAAACATAATGCTTTTGAAAGACTTCAATCGGATATTACTTACTTACGCGTGTTACACCTCGTGGCAGAGCATAGGCCTCTGTCTTAAACTCGCCTTTCCAGTTGTTTCCAATTGCCATTCATTCTTTCGATGTTATCCTCTCTATGCAATGTGTTCTTTGGTTTTCCTCTTCTCCGTTTAATTTCAGGATTCCAAGTCAGAGCTTGTCTCGTGATGTAGTTTGGTGATTTCCATAATATATGTCCTTTCTTAATTTCCATTTCCGATGAAAGCTGGTTTGTTCTCTCCCATAGTAGGTTGTTGCTGATGCTATTCGGTTAGCGGACATTGGGTATCTTGTGCAGACAATAGTTTAGAAGTACTTGTACTTCGTTGATGATGGTTGTAATAGTTCTCCAAGTTTCAGATTTGTACAGCAGAACTGTCTTGACGTTTGCATTGAAGATTTTGACTTTGATATTGGTTGACAGACTGTTGTTTTGAGTTGCATATGTTTTTCAACTGTAGGAATTCAGTCTTTGCTTTACCAATCTTCGCCTTTACGTCAGCATTCGATCCTACACGTTCATCGTCGATGCTTCCCATGTACGTGAAAAACTCCTCAACTTCCAGAGCTTCTCCATGAAGTATGATAGGGTTGATGTTCTCTGTGTTGAATCTAAGTATCTTGATTATTCCTTTATGTATATGGAAGTCTACTGGTGCAGAGGCTACTGCTACACTAGTTGTCTTCACCTGCATTCGTTCGTGTGTATGAGATAGGAGGGCAAGGTCATCTGGGAGGTCCGAATTGTCAAGACGATTCCGAGACGTCCATTGTATTCCGTGCCTTCCCTCAAATATAGAGGTCTTCATAATCCGGTCAACCACCAGAATGAAGAGAAGGGATGAGAGTGATAAGCTTTGTCTGACACCGGTTTTCACTTGGAATGCATCTGTCAGCTTTTCTCCATGCACGACTTTCCAGTGTAGTCTGTCGTATGAATTCCAGATGATGTTGATGATCTCTTCAGGTTCACTGTGCCGTTGAAAGTTTATTCGGATATTGAAAATAGTGATTTCATGGAATATTTCTCTAAGTGAGGAATATACTATTAACAAGTTATAAATGTTATGCTATATTACAGTAGCACAACTTAGACATTTATAGATTTAAAAGGTTACAAATTCAATGTAAGCAATATAAGCCACTTAATAGTAGTGATATATAAGTGTAATTCTGTAAAATAAGATTTTATGCTACAGGTATGAATTGAACAATATTGAGAACGCAACACGACAAAGAACACATTATGTTGAGAAATGGTGACAGTCATGAGAAGAATGAAGAACAATTAGATAGAACTAGAAAGGAAGGCCCATGATAGAGCGGGTTGGAGAATTCGAGTCAGTGGCCTATGCTCTATTGGGAGTAACAGGCGTAAGTAAGTAAGTAATAACATGAAATAACTGATCTCTAATTTAGAACAATATAAGGATTCTTAAAAATCTGTTTGAGTCTTTTCAAGGGTTCAAGAAGACGGATAATCTATAACCATCCGGATGAGTTTATGCACCGTTCTTTTTCGATTCATAAGCACATTAACTTTTCTTGGATTTATTAAACATGAAGAATGCTGTGTACACTTTGTAACATTATTGGTGCTTTTTCGCATCATTAATTACCCATTTACAAAATCTGCATTCTAACTGGTTAAAAACTGGTCGAAAATTTATCGCGGTTGTTTTGAACTCATCATTATCAAATTATACTCTTATTAGTTTGATCATGTCTAGCTATTATGAACAAATTAAATTTTGTATATTTTACATTGATACACGACGACTACAAGATGGTCGCTGACGGATATATACATTTTGTATGCATGTATTACGATGTAACAGTTATTTATTTAGCTAGATCAGAAAATGTATGTACACCTTTACAAGTTATAACACTATGGAAGTTTTCTATGGCGCTAAATGAATAAGGGGGTGGGAGGCATACACATCGTTTATAATCAGGATTGTGATATAACTAAGTGAATAATGCGATAATGACTGAATCAGACGGTACTGGATTCGAATCCCAGAGTGAATATCAACTCTAAGATGTATGTACATTCAGTTGACAAGTCTTAAATATGACGAAACGTGCAACCCGGATTTTACTGCTAACTACTATCCATCTTTGCTTAAGATGGTAAATGTTGGTTTGATAGATATGTAAAGGTATTTTGCATAAATTTATATGTTAAAAAGGTGAAAGTATACTGTACTGCCGGCTTTCAGTCGACCAATCAAAAGTAAGAAAGCACCTTGTTTACTTTTGCACGAAATTGAAAGTGCAGTGCTACAGAGCTTCTACGTTATGATTAAGTAAGTATAAAAATTGGTTGTATTTGTTGTGACTTTAAGTCCGGTTAATTATCACGTAATTTATTCGCCGATCGAAATGTGACTTGATCAATCTGAGCAGTGTGCTAAACCAATGACGTTCAATCGGTATGAGCAGCCTACCGTCCTTATTGGTTTTTTGTTCCCTTAGCTCTTCCAGTTGAGTCCAGAACGACAATAACAGCTTCTACTATGCAATTCATGTATTTCAAACATACTTAGTTTGTATATCAACCAAACAGACCAAATTACATTATAAAATAAGAAATAACGTTTGTACAAGATCAAGCCAGAAAATGGCTGTGAACGTGGGAAACTGTAATCACTAAACTGAACATAATTTAGTTACAGTAAATCGTATAATAATAATCTATGGATCAAAATGAATTATATAATAAGGGGAATATGAATATACCTAATCTAGTTACTGAATAGTTTTACAATAGGAATATTTACATAATATTAGTTCATTAACTATTTATAAATAGCTGTTTACGCAGGATATTCAACATCCATCGGCCGGATACCATCAGCAACAGCCTTCTATGGGAGAGAACAAACCAGCTTCTAGCTGAAGAAGAAATTAGGAAAAGACGTTGGAAATGGATAGGAAATACATTACGCAAACTGCATCACAAGCCAAGCCCTAACTTGGAATCTTGAATGGAAGCGGAAAAGAGGAATGCCAAAGAACATATTACGTCGGGAAATTGAAGCAGATATGAAAAGGATCAATAGGAACTGGAAAGAATTGCCCGGGACAGGGTTGGGTGGAAAATGCTAGTGAACGGCCTATGCTCCTTCCGGAGGACTAATAGATGTACGTGAGTAAGTAAGTCCATCAATAGGTCTCGGAAGTTACTCGTAATTTATTCCTCATTAGGATATAACAGTATTTGCCTCGTAAAATGCTTGAAATTAATGAAAAAAAATTGTCTATCATCCAAAAAAACAGTAAATATGATATAGCGCTTAAATTAGATCACAAGGAAGACCTCAAGTTTGTCAAGTTTTCAGTCAAAAGAATGGCGACTCATCACTTAATTATAACCCAATCTATCTTACCACACACATACATACATACACCCAATTCTTTCTATGTAAAATAAACCTTGTTCCATTATCATAATGAATAGATTATCATATATGGGATTAGTTTTCATATTGAAATTATTGTTTCATTGTAACTTGTCTATCTTGTATTGTTCATTGTTTTATAACTGAGTAGTGTTACTCGATTGATTGAAAAACCGTTCAAGGTCGTCGTCAGGAGAGGTAAATTTTCCCGTTTGGTAAAATATATAATATTATTATCAGACGGGTTTTGTGCATATTATTAGTAATTTCAATGGTTAAGATCATGAGTCAGTTGAAGCTAGAGTTATATCCTGGAGTTCTAGTGAGAATTAGTGACCAGTGGAGTTCAACCAGATCTGTTGTGAGATAGTAACTCATTGAAGACAATGGTGGATATGTCGTTCAATTTTGTGGATTAGTTAAAGTTAGACAATAACACCGTTGGATGCCGGCCAGCTCAGTGGTCTAGTGGTTAAGTGCTCGCGCGCGAAACCAATAAGTCTTGGGTTCGAATCTCGCAGAGGGCGAGGTCGTGGATGCGCACTGCTGAGGAGTCTCATAGTAGGACGAGACGGCCGTACAGTGCTTCCAGGTTTTCCATGATGGTCTAGCTTCAACTGACTCATGATCTTAACCATTGAAATTATGTAATATTAATTTACAGAATATATATGGGTAAGATAGGGTGAGAGATGGTAGCTTAATTACAGATGAAAATCAATGTTTGGTCAAGGATTACATGGATGCGCATTGTTGAAGAGTCTCATACTTAAACAAAACATCTGTGTAGTCCTTCTAGGTTTTTAATGATGATGTAGCATAGATCAGTTTGTGATTTCGACAATGGAAATACTATAATCTCCACAAATCCTCTACAGTAACATGAATTAGGTAAGAACTAGTAAATACGGGTAGGTACTAACTAAATTCCTCAAAACGTTCGCCAGATTTCTATATATATATATTAGATAAATTTAAGCTGTGGAAATACAAAGAAGAAGGCTGTGTGTACATTAATCAGACTAAAAGAAACGGTTGAACGTAATTCTTCTGGACGAAAAGCTCCACCTTTTTGATCCAATTAGCTATTGCTTCAGTCATTTGAAGGATTCTTATTTTGATGGATTTAATCAGATAGCTATTAATACTATATATCACTGTAAATGATTACTCTATGTTGGTTGTATGACTCGTTTGTACTAGATGAATGACGATTAAGGTATTTACAGGTTTAACTATGCTTTTACTTAGTCGCCCAGAAAGATGCATTGCGACTACGAAAAATACAAATCAGTCAGTCAGTCAGCTACAACGTAGGACCAGGCACATATGTGCATCGGTCCAGGTTGCCATACCTCATTAGCACAGCAAGATGAACACCGGATTCATAGGAGTGGTTAGGTCAAAGGTTGCAATAAGGATAAAGTACAGGAAGAAAGAATTAGTTTGTAGAAAGAAAGATATGAAGTGATTTTAATCTCTTAGTTTAAGGGAAGACAGGGAGTGTATACACCGACGCCATTGTGATTGCTTCTGAGCCATGTCACCCAGAGTCTCCAACCATTGGTTACGATAGTCACGCGGACCCCAACCAAGTAGTCTGCATCTACCAACATGGCTCAGACTAGAAGTTAGCGACTTCAAGCACTGATGCCACGTTTTGGTTTGGCCGCCCCTAACTTTCTTCCAACCATCCCCTACACCGGTTAGCATTGCACGTCGTGGTAATCGGTGTTCAGGCATACGTAATACGTGGCCCAACCATCTCAGTCGATGAAGATTCATAACCTCATCAACTGATTTACCATCATTACCTAATACCCTGCGTCTAACCTCACTATTACTTACCCGGTGATCCCAGCAGATGCCAGCAATATTTCTAAGGCATCTGCGGTCAAATACTAGTAGCTTACGGGTGTCTTCCACTCTTAAAGGCCATGTTTCGCTGCCGTAAAGTAAGACAGAACGGACTGCCGCGCAGTATACTCGTCCTTTTATTGATAGACGGATAAAAATTCCTAGAACAGTTAACAATGTAAGTTGTTGTTCCACAAGAGCTGGTCGACATCCAACAACGTGAATATCTAACTTTAACTAATCCACAGAATTGAACGACACATCCACCATTGTCTTCAATGAGTTACTATCTCACAACAGACCTGGTTGAACTCCACTGGTCACTACTTCTCACTAGAACTCCAGGATATAACTCTAGCTTCAACTGACTCATGATCTGAACCATTGAAATTACTATAATATCCACAAAACCTATCTGATAATAATATTATATATTTTACCAAACGGGAAAATTTACCTCTCCTGACGACGACCTTGAGCGGTTTTTCAATCAATCAAGTAACTCACTGGTCACTGGCATAGAAAATTGTCAACATTTATTACAAACAAACAAACAGAACACACATATAGTTTCTAGGTACACAATGTATAACTTACCAGCATTAAATTGACTATCGACTTTTTCACAATTAATAATATTGAAACGATATGAAATATTCGATTGCATATTAGATACACGAAAATAAAACCATTGTAAATAAGTAGTTGTATTAATATCAGGATTTAATATTAAATCATATTCATATTGACGAACCTTTATATTGAGAATAAAAATATATATACATAGAAGGTAACAACATAATGAAGGCGGTTGATTAGGAACTGATTATAAAGAGAAAAGTGGAGGACGCGGAAGGGAGGGAAACAAAACAACCGTCCACTTTTATGTTTGTGTGCATATTATATAGAGTAGTATTGTAGTGAAGGGGAACACAGGTGACGACAATCGAATCATATTTTGCACAACATTACAGAGTTGCTGGGTAAAATAGAAAAACCATACACTATAATACTTAATTTGCAAAAATGTTCAATAATTGTCTCAGATTTCATTGTTCTTTCATTTCTATGCTAATTGCTTTCTGTTCCCGTTCTTCCTTTCTTGATCTTCTTAATCTTCTACTGCCAGACATAACATTCCTGACTCGCGTCATATACTACTTATGTCAATATAAGTAGCACACACCACAGTATCTTTTTTATTTACTTAAATATGTTTACTTTTTTGACAGGTTTTTAATTAGACAATCATCAAAAATCAAGAAAGTGATAGAGTTCAACCAACTCCATTGTTAAGTAGTTGTCCGTCAAAGGCCAACGGAAGATGATTATGTAACAGTTCGAATTGAGTGAGATTAGAAATAAAACTCGGAAGTTATGAGTTCGATCCTAGATAAGAGTCTTGAATGTATACCGTCGGGAAATCCCACAATAGGACGAAACAACTTTTAAGTACTTTCAAGTACTCAATATTTGTTTAACATCAATCTTTGATGCAGCAAATAGTATTTTACTTATTGTGAATTCATCAATTTGTTCACAATTTCTCATAATCTATTCCCCATAAAGTTATTCTTGATCAATCGTGACACGTTTTGATAATCAATGATATGTGATTATAGATTAATATTACCTTGAGTTTTTGAAATGTGGTATACAAGAGTTCCTCTTAAATTCGATTCTACTTGATAAATACAAATTCTATTAGTTAAGATAAATTAATTGAAGCTAGACCAACATGGAAAACCTGGAAACAATGGATGGCCGTTTCGTCCTATTGTGGGACTCCTCAACAGTGTGCATCCACGATCCCGTCCCCCCTGCAAGATTCGAATTCAGAACCTATCGGTCCCACGCGCGAACGCCCAAATTCTTGACCACTGAGCTGGCCGGCATCCAATGGTATTAATGACTCATGATCTCAACTATAAACATCACTGTAATATCTATAAAACCCCTTCTGGCACAAATACAAATTCGAAAGATATATATATATATATATATTGAAATTCTAACTGGATCTCATTTAAAGTGATTTATTCTCAAAGCCGGAATTCATTATTTTAATTCTATTTCATATAAATTTATGGTCAGTTTGAACAAAGATTTATTGAACTATCATCCAAGACTAGATAGGTTTATTGATGATGAAAGTTCCAACAGTTGAGATCATGTGTCAGTTGAAGCTAGACCACCATGAAAAAACTGGAAGCACTGAACAGTTGAACTTAGACATTCACACCGTTGGATGCCGTCCAACCCAGTGATCTAGTGGTTAGGCGTTCGCGCGCGAGACCGATTAGCCCTCGGTTCGAGTCTCGCAAAGCGGAATCGTGGATGCGCACTGCTGAGGAATCCCACAATAGGATGAAACGGCCATTCAATTCTTCCAGGTTTTCCATGGTAGTCCAGCTTCAATTGATTCATGATTTGAACTATTGAAATTACTACAATCTCCACAAAAACCCTTTTGATAATGAAAGTATTCTGAAATATGGAACAGTGAATAAATAAGAAATACTTCAAAGTTAATATATATACTTTAAGATTGTAGTATGAACTTGGAACGACCTCAGATGTCATTGGTTCGTTGCCTCTTTTAATACGTTATTTTGTGACGTCTCCCAAGGACCTTTTTATACTGTATATATATGCTTGACTTTTGTGCTTGGTTGTTCATGCTTCTGGCCTCTTGTAGGATATACCTTTCCTCATATCTAAACCTGGTCTTATCCCTATAGTTAGCAGGGCTAGGATGCATAGGAATAGTTTAGCGTGTCTTGTCGTTCTGTTGAATTTTTAGAAAATCATAAAAACGATTTCGTCTCACTTTCACGTAGAATCTTGTCGCAGATTTTTTAAGCATAGACGGATAAATAGATATCAGTAACATACAGCCTGGTACATATGTGCAAGTTGCCATGACCTGGATTAACAAGACCAAATGTAAATGGTAAAAGCGATCAAAATAATATGGTAAAATGATTAAAAGTAATGACACAACCTTGGGAATATGCTTTGAAAAGACAGAGTGGAAAGGTTTGTATGAAGGGATACTGGAAAACAGATGAAAAAATGTCATGCAATTAGATTGATTTACTTGAATTGCTTTTCTCAAATTACCACATTCGAAACGAGATTCAAACTCTAAATGACCTTTTTCAGCGTCAAATTGACCAATCCTAAGTAAAAAGAAACAAACATTTGATATCAATAGGCTATACGTTTCCAAATCCATAAGTTTATCCATAGCCTAATAATAAATTTTCAAACACAAAGATATTGTGGTATATACTACTGATGTCGACAGATATAAGTAGTATGTATCACCAGTCGAAAGTGAAATACCTGGCGGTACAACATTAAGAAGATTGAAGAAAAGAGAACAGGAACAGAGAATGATTAGTAGAGAAACTAACGAACAATGAAGTCTGAGATGATTAATTGACATTTTGCGGTATAGGTGTCAGACTTGACGAAGATCTATGAATGAATAAACATACTAAAATGATTAGACAGTCAGTTGTACACTAAAGGGAACCTAACCGATCTATGCATCAGTTTAAATGACCATACAACATCACAACAGCAAGATTATCAGAGTAGCAATAGTAGAAGAAAATAATACACACAGTCTGTATGATTCGAGAATAAAAAATGGATGAAATCGTGAATGATTTTGAGTCATGTCACCGAATACCTAAATCATTGAAAGTATCATCACCAAGAATAAACATGATAATTTAAAATAGATTTTGACCGTCAGTAGGGGGTTATAAAAACCAGGAAGGAACCAAGAAGCACTGGACGGCCGTCTCGTCCTAGTATGGGACTTGTGAATTGGTTGAACTTAGAAATCGTTGAATGCTAGCTTGTTCAGAGAATAAAATATTTTATTTTTCTGTACATAATATTGTGGTTGTGAAAACAAAACATGAAAATCCCAACCAGGTGTGGTCTTCACCCATCAACATGGTTCAAATCAATAGTCACTGACTTCATAGACTAATAGCATAGTTATATCTTGAGATTGCCAATCGATATCACGTGCAAAATTCCCCAATTGCTATTCCGATTCTAGTTTTCTTTATCCCTTGTATAGTATTTTGGTTATAGCTTAGCGTTCTCGACCTGACTAATTACAGTTCGGACATTCACAGTTGACGTAGAACCAGAGCAAGCTGAGCTGTTTTTGGTTAACCATCCGTAAGCCCTTCTCCATCTTCTGCTTTGTGTCTAAAGAGAAGACAGCAACCAGCCTCTATTATATACTATATTTCAAGCATATGCGAACTTATATATATACTAGACCACATCATGCAATGAATCGAAAAATCACAATTATACATAAACAGGCCAAAGGTGGCTGTGAATAGTCCAAGCTATAATTAATAAACTGGAAAGAACTTGAGAACAACAAGTCGTACGACTGTAGTTAATGAATTAAGCCAAAGCTGACGATAAACGGAATATAGGAACATAATAATCCGATTACTTAATACTTATACAATAAAAGTATAATTGATCATAATTTGAAAAACGATTGCAAAAGTCCCGTTACAACATGCCAAGTCTTTTTTTTAGTCACCCCCCCTCATAGTTTCCATTCAACTATTTCCTAAATCAGTCATTATCGACGTCGAAAGTGATTGGACATGTGAAATGTATGTCATAGTTAATTATTTGATTAAATGATCTTTCGCTGAGACATATTTACAATTACTCAATCAAATAGTCTATAATGGAATCGGATTATCTGTTTCATCTCATCGTCACAGAGAACTGTAGTAAACTTGAGTGCGATAAACTAGATGTTCACTTGTTAAGTGGTTAAAGACAGTCGACAGTAAACCTTTACTACACCTAGGTTTCGTATTAGTTGGCATACGTCAAGAGGCGGTATCCTAGAGCTTAGAGGAACAAGTAGTTGAATTAAAACTTGATCAATAGAATTTGATCAACATTAAAGGATTAATGAAACATCAGACTGGTTAATATCTAGTGATCAACTAATAGTAAACAGTTGTTCAGCATTATATTGAAGATGTTAGAACCCAGAACTCACTTGGTAAATACCTTATTTTTGGAATTTTATTTCAAAAATTTGAATTTCTTGTCTTCGCGCCAAAAGCGCTCATTTTCACCTTCATGTCGTATTTCCCACTTGGGGGAATCTTAAATGCTATTGGTTCGTTGTATCTTTTAGTATGCTATATTGTAACGCTTCTCAAGGACAATTTTATGCTGTATACATATGTTTGATTTGTGTCTGTTGTTGTTGTTCGAGCTTCTGTCTGCTTGCGGAATATATTTCCGCGTTTCGAAATTGGAATTCTCCCTCTAGTTAGCGGGGTTGGGATGCGTTAAAATAGCTAGCTCATTGATCTTTGGTCACAGAATCTTTGTTTCGTTCTCAGACTAGGTGAATTCATCATCGCTTCAAATATGGCATATTATAGCTTGAAGCTTTTTTTTTAAACAATGTACATGCATGGTTGAAATAGTTTCCTGGTGACATTCATGAATCGGGTATAAAACCCACTGTGAATTGTAAGACCGTCAATTATTTCTAGATTTTATATAACTTCAAAGATAAATAACTATTTATCGATTATGAACATTGCTAACCGAATAAACTCATACTAATAAATGCCAACTTACAATAGTTCATCATGATTCGTTATGTTAAAGTTATCCAATGAAGATGATATAGTTGAAGAAGGACAATGATAATCCTGTTGATGATTATTACTTGTCAACTTTGTACTATCTATCGAACTATTATCTACAGTATGATCATTATTCATTATTTGTACACAAGAAGTTGACATAACTGTTGATGATAGAACGTTCATTTTGGATGATTTAGTTGAGACTTCTGAAATTGTATCACTAACATTATGTTCTAAATTACTATTTAATAAAAGTTTATTTGATTTCATTTTCAATGTTGACGAATGTTGACCTTGTTCTTGTTGTTGTTGTCGTCGTCGACGCTGTTCCTCCTCCTCCTCCTGAGATTGATGAATTTGTTTTGATGATAATGATTGGTATTGAGATTTAATTAATTCATCTATATCATATACAACACGATTGATTAAATCATTGGATTCAATAAATCGTCTTAGATCATCAAGTATTTCTATATGTGGTATATCAGATATATTAAATGGTCTATGGAATGATTGATTATTATTATTATTTGATGATGATTTATTCATAGTTTTATTTAATTTAACTGATTTAGAAGTTTTGTTTAGATTGTTTATAGATGAGTTCGTTTGGATGATCGAATTCGTGGAGCCATCAGCTATAAAATAAACATATAACAGTAATAATTCGATAGAGGTTTTGTAAGTATTATAGTAATTCCAACAGTTAAATTCATGAAGCAATTGGAGTTAGATCACTATGGAAAACCTTGAAGCACTAGATGGTCGTCTCGTCTTATTGTGGGACTACCTCAGCAGTGCGCATCCACGATCATACCTTACGAGATTCGAACCGAGGACTAATCGGTCTCGCGCGCGAACGCTTAACCTCTAGACCACTGAGTTGGCCAGTATCTAACGGTATTAATGTCTAACTTCATTAAATCTACGGAATTGAACGACGCATCCGCCATTGTCATCAGTGAGTTAGTATCGCACAACAGACCCGGTTGAACTCCACTGGTCACTGTGAGACCGTTAGGTCTTGGGTTCGAGTCTCGTGAGACAGGATTGTGGATGCGCACTACTGAGGTAGTCCAACAATAGGACGAGACAGCCGTCCAGTGCTTTCAGGTTATACATGGTGATGTAGCTTCGACTGATTCATGATCTCAGCTATTAAACTGAAAATGAGGCAAATAGTGTGAGAAACTATAACTTTTGAAAATATTATACGAAGGATTATATATATTTGTTATATAGTTAGCAGACCCTTAGACTTTTGTATTTTTATACTTCCTTATTTCTTTACTTTTATCTGACTCAGTAATTGTTGTCATGTCTCATTAATCCAGCTTTATCATTAATGAATCATTTCTCTATTACTCCGGTTTTGTATCACTTATGACTGAGTTATATACATATTGTAATTTCCCGATGGTGTGGTTGTGTAACCAGACGTTTCAAGTATGTTTCAAGTTATAAATGAAGTGAGTACAATCGAGAAGTATTCTGTTTTCTATATTTATCTTCGAATTGCCTGCTGGGTTAGACAGGGCTCGAGGGCCAACAGGCGTTAAGATGTTGGTTGTTGTTCATCATTCAGTGTGCCATGTGGTAAACAGAAGGTCATCGGTCGGTCCTACTGGGAATATGAGGGTACTAATTGATAACGGGACAAGAGGTAGAGAGATTAAACAACCACTTGTTTGTCATCGCGGTACGATCACACGTGGTCAAATACAATTGAAGGAACCTGTTACTCTATTTTCCGTTGTATAAAAAACATTCAATATCTGTCTCCTTGATCTATGTAAAAGCTGTCAATCATAAAATAATGATACTTCTCTGTGCTCATAAAAAACTTGAGAAAAAAATAAACGTCCATAGTATTTCTTTCTCAAAATAATTTGGTAAAAGTGTCATACGTTGACGAACCAATCAGATATAGATGATTTTAGATTTCCGCGCGAAATCCAAAAAACAAAAAAGGATAATTAGATGGAATGTGGCTAACAGTGGAATCCAGGACGCGCGTTTCATCCATTGCGCAACTCATCAGCTGAATTGTACATGCATCCTGGGGTTGGTCCTTACTCCTGGATAATCCAAACTATTTCAAATATACAAAGAAGGATAGGTTGTATTTAAAGTTTGATTTGAGCTTTTAACTCGACATTCTAATTATGACTCCTAGCCATTTTATTTTTATACCAATAAGTTATTCCTTTACAGTATTTAAATTCTTACTGAACAAAATTGATCTCAATTCACTTGTTGTTATACTTGTATCTTCCTGTTGTTATTTGGGACTGCAATTGATCGGTCTCATGTTGGCATACGTACATCCTTTGGGACACGTCAGCTGGATGTACCTGCACAAACAAGTGGCTATCAGGACTCAGTAGCTAAATGGATAATGCGATGGAGTTTGAAGCGAACGGTACTGGGTTCGAGTACCAGAGTGAACATCAACTCGGAGATGCAGGTACAGACACTTTTTAGCTTGATAATGAATCATTATTATTTCTCATTTTATGCTGTGATGTGGTCGGTTAGGTCTGGAAATAACATCTTATTTCTGAAATATAATATTCGTATAATGGAGGATGGATACTAAATTTTAGATTCAAGGAGCAAAGCAGAGAGAGAGAGAAGCTATAAGGTCATGGATTAATAAGTGCTTAGCAATTGACTCAAGGTTATTTATTAATGCCAAATGGATATGTAATTGATCAACTCAAAGATACTAGATCAAAGAAATCATGATTCTGATTAGTGGTTTTGTTACGTGATATCAATTAGCAGCTATAAGTTCAGATTACGATGATTGACAATAGAAGCGAAATAGATGATTTGATTAAACTTATAGTTAGAATCAATTACATACCTTCATGAACATTTGATAAATGAGCACACTTCTCCTCCTCCTCCTCCTCCTCCTCATCATCATCATCCACATCATCATTCGCATTATCATTAACAGTTGATGTAACTTGGGATAATTTATTTTTACAATAAGATGAAGTAGTCATATTATCATTGGATAGATTTGATTGTTGATTAAAATATCTTTCAATTAATTGATCTGTTGAATAAAATGGTTCACAATCAATTGATCCATGTGCATCAATTAAATCAGGATAAGCTATGATTTTAAATGGTAATAAACTTTTTACTCTTTGAGCAAAATAATAATATTCCAAAGTAGTATTATCTTTGGTAGGAGGATGTATGGTTATATTACCATTAGAATAGTTATCTATTACATAGAAATTCAAAAGATAAGATTGTTATCTAAATGTTGTAAACAGTGATTAAAAAGAAATGAGAACTTTGTGAGATATGGAATTATAATTTACATGTTCCCCCAAATGCCCTGGTATGGCCGAGAGTGGGGTGGGTCCGCCCTCCCTCTCCAAATGCTCTCACATGGCCATGCGTATACAGCCTCTGCCAGGGAAGTCCTACTCACTGCCTTCTCGCACCACAGGTGTTGTTTACGAAATTGAGAGGACGCGAAGCGAATGTCCGGCGCTTTAACCGGATTCCAAACCAATGGTGCACATGGGCTCCAGTATCCTGCGGGAACAAATGGCGTATGAACCAATTGTTGGTCATCGGCTACCATGGGACTGCATCTCCTCACGATGCTCCACTGCCTTGTGGGTCAGACCTTTAGGTCAAAGGCTCGGGGTGTGGCCCCCTAAGAAAACCACCTGCTTCGGTCTGGACACCCTGGCAGTATCACAGCCCTCACACAAACCGAATGATTTATGTGGCGCATATCTACCTGGTGCCTCCTTGTACCAATGTTTATGTGTTTAAATAATAAATAATAAAATAATAATGTTCCATAGTGGATAATATTGTAGTACTTTGATTGAAGAAGGAGATATCACACTACTGTCAATACCAGCAAAAGTTTTTTACAGGGTGTTGCTGAACTGGATGAAAGATGCAGTAGATGACCAAGTTCGAGATCAACAGGTTGGACTCCGTAAGGATAAGTCGTGCACAGACCAAATTGCAACATTACGGATTATCGTTGAACAATCGATTGAGTGGAACTCGTCAATATACATCAGTGTAGATAGGAGAACATTATGAAAATTTCTTCGATACTATGAAGTAACTGAGAAGATTGTCAACATTATCCGGAATTCATACGACGGACCAAACTGCAAAGTTGTGCATGGAGGATATCTGACAGATGCATTCTAAGTGAGGACCGGAGTCAGACAAAGGTCCTTACTCTCCCCCTTCCGCTTTCTCCTGGTGGTCAACTGGATTATGAAGAGCTCGACATCAGTGGGACAGCACGAAATACAGTAGACAACCAAGAACCAATTAGACGATTTGAACTTCGCAGATGACCTAGCTCTCCTATCCCATACACACGAACAAATGCAGGTGAAGATAACTAGTGTAGCAGTAGTCTCTTAATCAAGTCTCAACATACAAAAAGGAAAAAGCAAGATCCTCAAATACAAGACGGAGAATACCAATTCAATCACACTTGATGGAGAAGCTCTGGAAGAGGTGAAATCCTTCACGTACCTTGGCAGCATCATCGATGAACATGGAGGATCTGATGAAGACGTAAATGTAAGGATTGACAATGAATAGACCACATTTCACCAGTTGTAGAACATATGGAACTCAAAACAACCGTCAACCAACTTCAAAGTGAGAATATTCAATACGACCATCAAGACAGTCCCACTGTACGGAGCTAAAACGTGGAGAACAACCGCAACCATTATCGAAAAATACACATATCTATAAACAATTGCCTACTCAAGATACTTAGTGTCTGTCGACCAGATACCAACAGTAACAATCTACTGTGGGAGAGAATAAACCAACCTTTAGCTAAGGAGGAAATTAGGAAAAGACGATTGAAATGGATAGGACATACATTGAGGAAATCATCAAATTACATAACGAAGCAAGTCCTAGCTTGGGATTCTGAAGGGAAGCGGAAAAGAAGATGGCCAAAAAAACACATTACGTCGAGAAATAGAAGCAGATATGAAAAGGATGAATAACAACTGTAAAGAGCTGGAAAGGATTGCCCAGGACAGGGTTGGATAGAGAGTACTGATGGGCGGCCTATGCTCCTTCACAAGGAGTAACAGGTGTAGCCGATTGACGCTAGTAGATAAATGACGATGACTACAAAATCTTGATTTTAAGGATTTGATTGAATGAGGTAAAATATTTGAAGACAAACTAAGCTAAAAAAAAAGTATCTGGGATCAGATAACAATGAACTTAACAGATTATATAAACATTCTTTAAAAAAGTAACTAAGGTAAAGGTGATAGACATATAGACTGATGATGGACAGAATTCAATATTGATCATCTTACCTTATGTAAACATTTTCTAGTTTAAATAAATAATTGTTTTTATTTAGGATTATTTAAGGATAAATATGATAGTACATAAGTAACAGATAAAATCCTCTAATAATAATAATGAATCCTGTCAGTTGTATAAATGGATTGTATTCAACGAGCTATCTGTCAATCACAGTTGTACATAATCGATATAGGGCATAACACAAATGTTATATGGCAAGTGAATACATCATAATAACATGATGAGATGAAAGTAACAAGATTGATAATAAAGGAATGAATATAATGTAGTGCTAATGCAAAAGTGAAACAATGAACATTGAGAATTTGATATGAATAAACGTAAAAAGAAAAGGTATATATGAAGAAATACTAGGACATAACAACTCGAAGAATATGAAGCATGAATTCAGTATAACGGATTTGTTGAAGATTTACGACCTTATCAATCGATCTAACATTTTTGCCCAGTAATCTAACTATAAACTCAACGTTCCTGAATTGGTCATTTAAATATATGTTATCAGTGTTTCGAGGTCACCCATACTGAAAAGCCTGCACTTTAAATGTAACTTTACAAACAATGTTTCACGGCTTGTTGTGGCGTGTGACTGCTGATTAGATGGAGCAGCGTATTTATCGATCGATTTCAGTGATACGTAAAACACGTACGAACGACCTAGAGTCCCGATTGGCCCTGCTCCCCTGTCTAGCCCAGCCAGTTGAGTCCAGAACACAAGTCACAGCCTCTGAGATATGAACCATTATATTTCAGACATACTCTATTTATATACCAATCAACCAGACCACACCGTACCATAAAATAGAAAACAACATTTGTATAATATTTAACAAGTGGAATAAATACTGACCAATATGGAGTGTACATTTAAAGTCCAAGGCCACCATTAGACTTAACATGATAATTAATAAACACGGCTATAGACTAACGAAGAGCCAAATGCTGCTCAGTGTGCTCGCCTTTTGCTTGGTAGACGGACATTCCACTTACTCCACAAGTGATGCAATCGAAAGATGAGTCCAGCAACATGTTTGTTCAGGATCTTATATGACGTGGTGTGTGTTTGAGTTCGTCAATCAGACATACGCGACATAGAACCTGGGTATAAATGTGCATCAGTTCAAGCCATTACAGGCCATGTTAGCGTAACCAAATGAAACTTTCAGGACAAATCCCAAGGTAGCAGAATGATTAACGGAAGATTAAGTATAGACGATATGATTCGAGAAGAATAAATTTATAGAATAAAAATTCATTAGATAATTTTAAAACTCAGGATCTAATTGAAGAGAAAAATTGAGTGAATATGCGCCACTGCTAATGATTGTTAGCCAATTTATGTGGCGCCTGCAACCACTGGTGGTAATTATCATATAAATCCCAACCGAGGAGTCTTTATGGACTGATACCACCTTTCGGTTTGGCTTCCTTCAGCTTTCTTCAAACATAATCCTACACTAGTCAACATCTGACAAAATGTGTGTCTACTGTTAAGACACGTTAAACTAGGTTGAAACACACATCTTGTACTTCATTGTATCTATAATTTCTTCAACTCCCTTCTATCTATTGCTCTACAAAATTGAATAAATCCAATGAATATAAAATAGATGATTATTATTTGATATAAGTGTATATCTCTTAAGGACTAATACTTCAATTAGATCTCTAAGATGATCTAATATCGATCCATAATCATAACTAAAAGGTATATCAGAGGAAAACAACTCACATTCATAAGGCCAATTGACAGAATTCATCATATCCAATGGTTTTTCAACTTGTTCTTTCATCAATCTATTTGGTATTTCCTGTTGAAATATACAAAGTTAATAGTTATTGGAGTAATTATAAAAGAAACAAGTTATTGAATGTTTAGTGATATAGGAGGTAATCGGAAAAAGAAATGCAATGAGATAACACTAAATATCAATACTCAGTTGAGAGATAAGTCGTGTAGGTTGAACGCTATATACGAATCCTAAGCTATTCCCGTAACCCGCAGAATAGAACTACACAGCGACTTGAACTCCAGAAAGAAGACACAAGTATGACAGAATAGACTTTATCCCAAGGTTCATTTTAGTACAGAAAATCAAGGGTATTTATAGATGTTGGCGTCTTTTAAATCAACATCTTATTTCAGCCAATCCGTTAACGTCATATTGTGCTACCGACCAATGGTAGCACACCACGCTGGAATTCTCGAACGTTCCATCATACTCTGATTGGCTAGGGTAGTTGAATGTAGTTACTAGAAAACCATGGCATGACCTGAGTTTTATGCAAGTTAGTACTCGTCAGCAAGATCTGCACCTGTAATCCTGAGACAATCAGTGCTCTCTGGTAAATTCATATTCATAGATGTTATTATTGAGCTGTTCCGATCGTGACTGACCTCCAGTGGGACTGAGATATTTACAATTAATTGATCACTGTGAAGTGACCAACGTTGTGTATGTACGCCTTTCTGACGAGTGTCAACACCAGCCCGAAACACATATCCAGCCAGGGTTCACTATCGACTACTTCCAACAACCTAACATTTTGGCATAGTACATGTGATGTCAAGTCAATCAGACAAGTGGTCACATTGTGATATGATCGATAGAATTCGATCATCACTAATTAGGACTATAGAAATATGACTCAATATGTTTCAATAAGGAGAATATTGAGAAGGTTGCAACTTTCGGAACTATTTTTTTAAAAAATTCATTTGTATTAGTTATTTGAATCTTCCAGTCGTTGCTTAGGACTGAGATTAATCAGTCTCTTTTGAAATAAATGCATTATGTACAGATTGCTTCGATATTCCTATAAAGTTGAAAGCATTTTAGGTAGAGATGGATGGTGACAAGCAGCGGAATTCAGTCCCTGAGTGAACATCAACTTTGGAATGAAGGTACATTTAGCTGACAACTTCCGAATAAGAAGAAACGTGCTTCCTGGATTCCACTGATAGCGACTATCCATCTATGCTTAATATTTCTCGGATTATTATTTATATTTTTACTGTATAATTAGCAGGTAATTGTATTGTTGCAGTCTCTAAACCACTGAGCCGGCATCCAACGATGTTAATATCTAATTTCAACCGATCCACCATATTGCGCAACCCTCTTCCATAATAAAATGCACAAATTGAAAACTTTAGTATGTATAGTAAAGTTAGTATGTAGTTAATAGTGCAGGTCAGCAGGCACATTTGGTTCTATTTGATACAAGTTAGCTGGATATACCTGCATTCTAGTGTGAATGCTTAGGCTGGAATTTTTACGACACAACCCTATACTCATAATTATTATGTTCTCACTATTGACTAACTTTGAGAGGTAATTCTCGGAAGTTTAGTGAGAAGACGTAACTAGTAGAGTTCAACCGTGTCTGTTGTAAGGTAGCTACTCACTGAAGACAATGGAAGACGGTCGTGCAATATGGTGGATCGGTTGAAGTTAAACATTGACACTATTGGAAGCCAGCTCAGTGGTCTAGAGGTTAAGCTTTTGCGCACGGGATCGTGAATGCGCACTGCTGACTAATCTCATATTAGGACAAAACTGTCGTCCACTACTTCCAGCTTTTCAATCATGGTCTAATGTTTATACACCATTCATGATATCAATCTAAACTCAACAATCTCCACAACCCTATACTAACACCTTTTGTGTCCTGAGACGCTAATCGCAGTAACATGTCAAAATCACAAAACAGAACTCCGATATTATCGACTACTTCATCGATATTTCTTGATCATTCACTGGCATTTTGATATTCATCAGTCGTTTGAACCTTAATTGATTGATAAACAAGTATATTAAATCATTGATAAGTAAGGTATGTCTGTTTAACATAAATATTGGGTTATAATACTTTATATCCCCTTTAATTGTAAGCTTCTATCTTACTCATTGTATAACTAATCGTTCTGGAGTTATTGTGAATTAATTAGATATCTACTAAAGCATTTTGTTTTTATTTACATATTTGTGGTTTTCTGTGATCATGTATTTAAGGTTCGTATTTATTCCCTGATTGGATAGTGAAGTTTGAAGGAGATCATGGAAAACAGACGTTTGAGGTTCAGTCATTATGTAATTGATCGAAGAGGGGGTTATCAGTTCGATAGGTATAAATGAAGTTCATAATTAGCAGATTTTATTATGAAGTAATCTCGTCCATTAAGGAATATAAAAGTGTAAGTTCCAACAGTTTGTAAACACTAAGATGGATGGTTTGGTCGTGGAGCTTTCATCGTTCTTCTGAACGACATCATCGGCATAAATTTCAGGCAGAAGTGGAGTTTGTGCTGATGATGTCGTTCAGAAGAACGATGAAAGCTCCACGACCAAACCATCCGACCCAGAGAACAAAACCCCATCAAAACCATCCGCCTGAGCTACAAATCCTATCCACCATCTCAAGTTTGTAAACATTTAGTTTCTTGATAAAATCATATTTTGAAAAAAAATTTTTACAAAACTAATATACGATGGGTATATAAAAAACAGCACTTACATTGGGTAGATCAAACCATTCGGGAAAAAATTTTAAATGACTTGAAATTAATTCACTAAATGTGCATCGTTGATTAGTTGTTGTGGCATCCTCGTGTCCAATTACATTAGCACCATCATCATCATCATGATCTTCATCATCATCGTTGTCATCTTCGTCTTCCGATTCTTCTTCGTCATTGTCATCAACACCATCACCATCAATATTCTGAGTATTCTGTTCAATTATATCGAATATTTCTGGTGATTTTAATGATGTATTAGATGAACTAATCTGTTGATATGAAGTAAATTTGTCACCGGTAACGGGTAATTTATCACTTTTTGCACCATTGAAATCCTGTTGCTTCTCAGATTGATTCGAATTCTCATCTTCTCCTCTTCTTAGAATCTTCAGTTTCTGTATACGACATAATTTATTCAATTGTTGTGTATTTGCTAATTCTGTACAAGAATGACTGATGAATGTGTCTATTGATGAATTATTGTATACCTGGTTATTTGTATACAGATCGTTTATTGATTTACTATGAAGATTTTTGGAATTCATATTGGTGATTTTAGGTACCCTTTTATTCTAGAAATACAAATGTATATAGTAGTGTGAATTGTTTATTCTCACAGGGAAATAAATATACTCAATGTAAAATGAGTACTTCTTATACAGGTTTCAGTGATGTTTATGTTCCACTGTTACCTGTCCAATTCTGATACCGATAAATAAGCTTCCTATTTGTGAAACTAGCCAACTATTTGAATGAGAAGAAAGCTTTTCATTGACCAACTAAATATTTATCTCTTAGGTGTTTTAGAAACATTTTCCCACTTATGAGATGCATCTGGAGGAATAGAAAAAAGAAGCCATATCTTAACCAATCACATGTGGATATCATCAAGTCTATATCTGATTGGCTGAATGCATCATTTGGATGCGCTTGTACTTTAAAAGACACTTAAGATATAGATATACTATCAGGCTGTATGGTTATCAAAGGCTTATTTAGATTAAAAAATGGCATTTCGGATCTCTTTGATGCCTATCAGTCAGAAGTGTTTGATTGATAGACATTGTGATTAAACGAGGTTGTTTCATTAATGAATAAATATCAACGGAATAAGTTATGTATTATCATTCTTATGGTTGGTGAAGGAACTTACGCCTGTTTTCCCTCATGGGGGAGGTATAGGCAGCCCACCAACATTCTCTATCCCACTATATCCTCGGCAATTCTTTTCAGTTTCTATTCATCCTTTTCATCTCTACGTCCAATTCTCAGGGCAGTGTGTTCTTTGGCCTTCCCTCTTCTCCGTTTAGCATTCATCAAACGATGACAATAGATAGAGAAAAGATTGAAAAAGATTTGAATCAGAACCCATAACTAATTTTCTGTTGAATGATGTTCAAATCATTGCTCTAATTAAACCTTAGTTGTACAATATGAGATTTGCAAATTGAGTCAAAGATTCGATAATGGAACCTTTGTTAATAGTTCCAATAGCTTCAATCAAAAACAGATCTTAGCTGAACTACCACTGAAATCCTGAGAGCACTGGACGATTGTCTCGTCTTCGTATGAGATATACTAGCAGTACGTATCCACGATTCCGCTACTGGAAACCGAGAACAGGACTTTAAACCCCACGTGAGAACTCTAGATCACTGACGTGGAGTCCGACGATGTTTATCTCTAATTTCAGTCAATTCACGATATTGTCCAACCCTTGATCATTGTCTACATTAGGTAGCTATCTAACATGCAAGGTGATTGAACTTTACTAGTTAACTTTTTTCACCAGATGTCCAGGAATTGCATCTTGGAGCTAGTCACTAGGGTGAATGTGATATGTTTAGTTGACTACATGGTTGATATCATTCCACTATGAAAATTCAGCGAATAATCACAATATAAAATCCTTTTCATAGAACAGGAAGTTATTTCTTATCGATGAATCAAGATTCAAAATAAGAAATTATTTTGATAAGAGTTTCAGTCGTGAACTGATATTTGTTACAAAGTTGTTGAAAACTGCAAAGCATTAACAGAGTTATTTCAAGTAAAACTAAATTATAACTATGAGCTAATTTGGGATGAACAAGTTGTTTCAAGGCCCAAGTGTATGTACTAAAACAGATTGCTGTTTATCGAACATACATAACCCGACCGCTACTGCTACTTTGACGCGGTGGTCGGGTTTGCCTATCGTAATAAACCAATCGACCTATACCGGCTGAAACAATCGTTCCTCAAAGTCCTACCATGTCAGAAACAGTAAGACTAAAAGCAGCAAACCCAATACTGGGGGGCGAAGTCGTACTTCTGACTGTACAGAGGTGTGACGGCAGTAATGTGTTTCCTTCAGACAACCAGCATAATAACGATGTTGCTTTCATACAAGGAAGGGTGAGGTTACAAAAGGTCGACCCTAAAAATGCACACCTCGTTTTATCCCACGGACATCCGTCTCTGGCATAAGGTTTCAACAAGTATGGAGCTAACATGGAAATTACACACCATAAGGTTGTGTATGACCGATCTCAAGCGGTTGTCCCTTGGGCAGTGTGGTCAAGTGATTAAGACCACCTCTAATCCAATTTCTTTTTCAGGTACCTACAGAAGAACCCTTCCATGGTGTGGGCGATCGGGAAGTGACAAACGCTTTTACACCTCTAACAGCACTCAAGATCACTAACTGAAATTTTATGACAAAAGCACACGCTTAAAGTTGAGATTAGGAATAAGATCTAAGATACAGAATCAGAATATAGAGTTCAGGATTTAGGGTTTGAGTTACAATTAGAAGTTAGAATGTACCGTTTATGATGAACATTTATAGAAAATAAACCTTAATGCTAAAACATAAATCATATTCCTAGCATTTCAAATCATTCATCCATATATATTTATTCGTGGTTCGCTGAATAAAGTTTCGTTCCTTATTAACTTGTTCCAATAAATTAGATTCACCCTATTGGCTACGATGAGTAGACATTTTCCCAAGGTCAATTCAGAAATCATTTAGGTTCGTCAGTAAGATTAAACTGTACCACATTTTCCATATCACCAAAAAAAACACGATGACATTTAAAGCAAAGGGTACTAGATTCAAGTCCTAGAGTGAACATTAATTCTGGGATGCAGATATACTCAGCTAAAAACAAGTTCCAAAAAGGGACGAAATGCGCATCCTGTAATTCCACTGCTAGCCAATATTCATCTTTTTGTCAGTAATGATGGATAGTGGCTAGCAGTGGAATCCAAGACGCGCGTTTCATCCTATTTGGGACTCGTCATCTGGATATATGCCTGCATTTCAGACTTGTTGATGTTCACTCTGGTACTCGAACCCAGTACCATTCGCTTCAAATGCCATCGCGTTATCCACTTACCTACTGAGTTCTGAATTCCACTGTTAGCCACTATTCATCTTTGCTTATACAGTACAAATGATCAAGATCACAATTTAATTACAACTTACAACAAACGATACACTTACAATGAGAGAATTAACTTCATAGTAATAAGATTGATTTAATTTAGTTGTAATTCGTTTATTATTAACATTGATTAATTGTTTCCGATCATCAATGGATTTCTTCCGAATAACCTTGGGATTATTATTATTACTACTACTATTAGTAGTAGTAGTAGTAGTAGTATCGGTAGTAGTAGTGTTGCATAAGGATAATAATAATTTAGAATCATTAGATGATGTTACACCAATAAATGGATTATTCATTATAAAATTAATTGAATTCATTTGTTGTGATGAGGATTTTCGATTGTTGGTTACATCATCATCATCATCATGAATAGAGGAAGATTTGTGTAGGAGTGAAGTTCCACATGACCTTGGAAAGGTTATAAATAAAAGAAAAAAAAATGGAAAAAAGAAAACAAAATAATCATGAAAAGATAGAGATAGAGAGATTAAAAAGGATAGGGGGTATATATATATATATGAGAGATAGGGGGGGAGATGAGTGAATTTGTAACATATGTATCTACTACAGTGAAACATGTATGAAGAAAAAAAACATGGTGTAAAATGTACTTTCTTTCATTTATAAAAAGAAATAAATTTATCAATGGTTCATTATTTTAATAGTAGAAGGAAGAAAAGAAAGAAAGAAACAAACAAACTGTAGAAAAGTTATAAAATATGAAAGAGAATGTATATAAATATGGATGATTTTGAAGTAAATGATGTTACTAGATTATGTTGGAATCACAAATTGATCTAAGTAAAACAATCATTGAAAACCTAGAAGTTCTGTGAAGACATCTCATCCTCGTAACTACTTTCGATAGGAAATTTCCGGAATACTAGTAAGAAGTCATGACCAGTGGGATTGAAATCATGTCGAGTGTGAGGAAGGTATTCACCGAAGATAATGGGGAATGATCGCCCAATAACGTGTATTGATTGAAATTAGACTTCTGCATGATTGGATATTAGAACACTTGTCTGGGGGTGAGGTGTTCACATGTGAGATTAAAGATTTATTGTTCAGTACTCGGATTGGAAGTCGTAGATGCACATTGTTGAGGTGTTTTATGCTGATGTGAAACGGCCGTCTAATGCTTTTAGGTTTTCAATGGTTGTCTAACTCGTGATTTCAATACAACTATCAGTATACTTGTCAATCATCTAATCAATAATAAAAGAAAAGAACTATCAAGAAAAGAATCATCGTCAAAATGCTCAGTTGATTGAAAGTATAGTGATGGTCTTATTATTCAAGGATTTCAATGTCACACAATTAGTTCCATTTATGAATTTAAACAAAGCCAGAATAAACATTGTTGCAGAATAATAAGAACTCATTATATATTCCTTGGTTTCTTATCATCTGTTTATTCATTGAAAGTTTACATTGAGGTAAGATATAGTGTGAAACAATTGATATAGGTAAATAAAAAGAATCGGAATGACAAAAGGTTATCAATAATAACTATATACATATTTCACCCTATTGCACAACCAGGTGGCTATCGGGACTCAGTAACTAAGTAGATAATGCGATGATGTTTGAAGCGAACAGTACTGAGTTTGAGTCCCACAGCACATCTAACTAAAAACAAGTCCCAAAAAGGACGAAATGAACATCCTGAATTTTATTGCTAATCACCATACATCTTTGCTTATAACAGAAAGTCCCTTGAATTTCTCTCTACATATTTATTACTATCATGATGTATCCAAATGAGAAGTCTTACATATAGCATAATTGAATAGAATTGGTTGGATAAGTGTTAAAATTAAATCTACACAAACAGTAAATGCATACTTACTTCTTTTTCATATTTGAAATATTAGTTGAACAAGATATTTGTTGATGAAGTTTAGATTTGGCAGTATCTTTGACAATAAATGTATATAAACAAAAGAAATAATCACAGAAAACGTTAAAACATGAAACTAGAAACAGGATGGGGTTTTGTGGAGATTGTAGTAGTTCTTAATAGTTAAATTCACGAGTCGATTGAAGCTAGACCATCATGGAAAACCTGTAAGCACTGGACGGACGTTTAGTACTAGTATGAGACTCCTCAGCACTGAGTATCCACGATCCCTCTCGCAAGACTCAAACCCAGGACCTTTGGCCTCGCGGGTGAACAATTAACCTATAGACCGAAGGTCTTGGGTTCGAATCCCTCGAGCGGTATCGTGGACACTCACTGCTGAAGAGTCCCATACTAGGACGAAACGGTTATCCAATACAGTTGCGGTCACGCTACCAGGTCGTTAAGACCAACACTAATCCAACTTCCTTTTCAGGTTCGTCAAGAAATACCCTTCCACGGTGTGGGCAGCCGAGAAGTGACATCAGCCCTTATACCCGGTAACGGCACACCAGATTGTACATACGCTAATGTAAACTGATGAAATTTCAGTCAAAATATCAAAAATCGGTTTTCAATGGTCGTTTAATATAGATCGACTTATGAATTCAACTATGTAAATTACTAGAATCTCCAAAAATCCTCATACTGATAAAAATGGGATAATTTAAATCATTACAAATTAAACTAAAACTTGAAATTGTTAGAATATGACTTAAGAATGGACCAATTATAAGTTGAGAAAGCAATAAATTGTATAACAAGAAGTAGAAACACCTTTGTACATTGCTTTTAAGAAATCTATTGGAGTTATTTAACAGATTCAAGAAGATGGACAGTCCGAATTTATACGGATGAATTTATACGTCATTATTTTTCCTACTTGAAGGTAGGGTAACCTGTATTAGATGCTTTTTTACATTTTTAATGTTAAGGGTCTGGATTTTTCAAAGGTAGAAATAGATTATGATACATTGGATCAATTAGACATTGATAGTGACTGAGATCTAGCTTCTTTCTCTGGGAAACGAGACGCATATCATTAGTTGAATATGTAGCTTAAAGTTCTAAGGAAGAAATACATTATATATACATATATGAGAGTACAGCTGTCTCTCAATTCGGATACTTAAGGAGCCGGTTGCGCTAGTGTATTTAATATCGGAGTTAAGCAGAAGAATTTCTCCACCAACTAAGAACGGCCATGCACCATCACCCACCGAATCAAGAAAGAGCTATCAATCTGTCAATCCTCACAGTGTCCAGGCCGGGTGAGTTTTATCGTGTTGAGTCGAATTAAACCGCAGGCCCCACTCCTGGTGGTGTCCTTCCGTCAATTCCTTTAAGTTTCAGCTTTGCAACCATACTCCCTCTGGAGCCCAAAGACTTAAAGGTTTCCCGGGGACTGCCCGCGATGTCAATCATAGAACAAACGCGGATCGTCAGTTTGCATCGTTTATGGTCATAACTACGACGGTATCTGGTCGTCTTCGAAACTCGGACTTTTGCTCCTGATCAATGAAAACATTCGGTCTGAGCACCTGGGTAGTATCATAGCTCACACACAAATCAATTGACTTGTGTGGTGCATATGTATTCGGTACCCTTTTAAACTAATATTTATGTGTTCAAATAAATAAATAAAATAAACAGCGTATCCAATACCGCACAATACCACAATTCAAAATTATACTTCACTAAAAAAATACTGTTTTCGTAGCAGATGCTTACAGATCGATGAAAATTTAACACTTAATGACGGTAAGTTATTGAACGAGGGATCATACGAGTAGTCAAGCCTGAATAACAGTTGGAAATCCGTCATCTTATTTTGTACTACTAACATATGTGTTATAACTTGTGAACCTGTGTGCCATGTATATTGGATAATTCAACGATACCGCCAATCAAAGAGCAGCGAATTATCGATCGGACCAGTGACTCATAATAACCGTGCGAGCAGCCTAGAGTCCTGTTTGGTCCTGCTTCCGCCTAGTCCAGCCAATTGTATCCAGAACACTAATCCCAGCCTCTGTAATATGAATCATTTATTTTCAAACATACTGAGTTTATATACCAATCAAACAGACCACAACGTACCATAAAATAGGAAACAATATTTGTACAGTATTTGGCCGAAAGTGGCTGTGAATGAGGGAGATAGTAATTAATAGACAGGCCATAACTCATGAATGGTAAATCGTATAATAATATTCTATGAGTCAAATTTAAGCTTATAATAAGAGGAATATGAATATGAACAGTCTAGTTACTTAACAATTATACGATAAAAATATACGTTTAGTATTGGTCCATAAATGGATCCCAAGAATTACCATTCATTATTCTTATCGGGATATAACAATATGCTGTCTCACTAACCCGTGAAGCAAACATATTGTAATCATCTATTTAAACCATTCTATTGTGTACATACTCCTAGCTTAACATGAAACTCTATAATTTATCCTAATTTTGCTTACTAAACTATTATTCTGGTACAACGATCTAAATATTCAGTATTTGCCTTCGATAAAACTAGTTGAATTTGCCAGATCGGATTTTTTTAAAATAGAAATGAGGTATTTCTTTGAAATCACGAACCGGTCCAAGTTAGACAACCATTGAAAATCTGTAAGCAATAGACGGTCTTTTCACACCATTATAGGACTCCTCAACAGTGCCTATCCGTGACTTCTAATCCGAGTACTCAACCATAAACCTTCGATCTCATATGTAAACACCTCACCCCCAAACCAGTGAGCCGATATACAATTATGTAGGAGTTTAACTTCAACCAACATACAATATTAGGCGACCATTTCCCATTATCTTCGGTGAATACCCTCTTCATATCCGAAATAATTTAATTTCACTGGTCACGACTTCTCTCTAGAATCCCAGAAGTTTCTTCGTGATTCTAGTCACTAGTTAGGACATGATAATTGTCAATATGGAAGATTTGAGAACTGTTAAAACTAGGTACTTAGCCTAAGTCTTGGCCAAGTTTAAGCATGATGGTTAACATTATTATCAGGAGGTGTTAAAAAATTTTAAACTGACATACTGGATTTTTCTATTCCAGGTGAAGTGGACTTATCTTTTCTATGAAAAAAAAGTAGATGAGAAAAAAAGAGAAAATTTAATGAAACACTGGAACAGATAAGAGTATTATATCGATCAATATGATCTTATTGTTAATACTTAACTACTAAAGTATCGATAAGCGATTGATTCAAATGTAAAGTTACAAATCATTGTCAAGGAATGATAAGAAACGAATCGAAAAGAACTAAGTATTCGCTTAGATTACTAACAAGTTACTAAGTAATTGGTATCAGTCACGTGAGTGTTTGAAATGTGAAGGTACCAGGCTCGAATCTTAGTGTGAATATCAACACTAGGATCAAGATACACTTAACTGAAGAAACCCATATAAAATGAAATGCGCGTCATGTATCCCAGTGCAAGACATACATCATCAGTCTTCTCTTTGTAGAAAAAATAACTGCAAACTTTGTGTATTACCGAGATTAATCAACCATGATGTGTTATACGTGTTATTACTGATACTAATGAAAAGAGAATTTAGTTGTTAATCAGCTTTAAGTAAAAACAACCCTCCCCTCCAAAAAAAAGTGAAACTGTAATTTATGGACGAGTCGATCAAAGGGGGTGGGAGATTTCAAGGTCACAGCGCCAATTTCAGTACCTTATGCTCACATACGATCGGTTCACAGCGGATTGTAGACAGAATTGGATAATTGAGCGACTACAATAAATGGGACTACTAAGACGTTTCTTAATTTGTGATTGTGGTAATCATATAACTTGTGCAGACTAACGTGATGATGTTGCCTTTTGATGTGATATATATATATATATATATATATATATATATATATATATATATATTAGAGGAAGAAGTCTGTTAGAATATGGTTTTTCGCTCGATTCAGATCGAGACTAAAGCAAATTGCGAACTGGATAATAAAAGCACCAGTAACAGTGGCTGCAGCCGAGTACTACAATATATACGGATGATTGCAGATCGTACAGATGCCTACACAGACTTGATTATGTACATCACGTCGTCGTCCACAAGTGGCATTTTGTGGACTCGACAACCGGAGTACACACGAACAATATCTAAGCTATGTAGTCGAGAGTGAAAGAGTTTTGCGACCTTATCATGGATCCGAAGGCCGACTATTATAGAGCCATATGGATGAGTTCTTCTACCGTATGCATTGAGACTTTAGAACCTTGGAACCTTTTTTCTTACATTGACGAATTTTTGAAACATGTAAAAGAAAGGTATCCACTTCAATTCTTTAGTTTTGCATAGCTTATTTTCACTCTGTACTAACCGTTTTCTGATTGGCTAGTGTTTCTCAAGGTCACTTAGATCTCGTTCAAGGGTCATCCATATATTATAGTCTCGCCAGATAGGCACTTAAGATCACGAACAGACTTAGATAGCTGCTTTGTCTTATAAAAGTGCTCCTCAGTAGTGTCTATTCACGACCTCACCAAAAGGAGTCGAGGCAATGTCCTTCAGGTCACTTATTGAATGTCTAGTCTTTAGATCACTGAGTTAGTATCCAATGATTTACATGTATAAACTCAATCAATTTGTGATATTGCGATACCATATTTCATTGTCTTCGGTAGGCAACTGCCTCTTATTTGATACAGTTAACCTCCACTGATTATTGTTTCTCACCAGAACTCTAAGAATTACCTCATAATCCCGAATGGGGTTGTGGTTACAGATGACAGAGGAAACCCATAGCAGGGTGACATAGATGCTCAGTGCTTCTTGATTTTTCATAGATGTCAAACTTATGTCATTTTATGACCCTAATAACATTGAACAATTTCAACAAAGGCCCATACTGAAAATAAACACTTTAGAATTAGAGGAAAATTTTAAGTCAACAAACAAGGTGCTTGTAAACTCACTGAATCAGTGGCTCTGAATTGCGACGTAACAACGAAGCCGATGATGCGTCTAAAATAAATAAATACAACTTCAAAGGAAAGTTGAACCCGGTGATTGACTTTTTTTTTGTAAAGTATCTACGTTGATGACTGATGAAATGTACCACAAAATAATTGACTAGTAAAATTTGTACCATGGTTAATTACTGCTTTGCTCGTGGCCTGAACGTCTTAAGTCCGAATCTTAGCAAGGTCATAGATGACTTTCTACGACAAAAATGGTTATCTTTAGAAGTTCCTGGTTTTCAATTCGTTTAAGATGTGAACCATAAGATTCACAAAAATTCAAAAATCACTTAGACTAAGAACAAAGTAAGATGTTCAATGTCAAATTTGGCACACAAAATTTATGATGGTATGGGATATTTGGTGTAGATTACACATTGCCACTTGAAACCAAAGATACTGGGTTCGAATCCCAGTGTTATAATTTCCCTTATAATCACCCAGCTTAGTATTCTTCAACAATAATTCACTTGACAAATCCCCAAATAAGAACACGGTTGAACAGGAACGAAATCATATTTCAAATAACAAGGGTAGATGGAAGTAAGATACACAATAAGAAAAAGTTTTATATTTATAGTTTTTACATGAGATTTTAGAGTCTGCTCCAAGTATCCATTAACGCTGATTGGGTAAGAAATAGCCAATCATCGTGCCGTAACGCAATGCTGTACGGAACATACTTTAATCCAATCTATATCTCTTTAACACTTGGAGAGGAACATCAACTTTGCAATGTAGATACAAATCTAATTCTTAAATCCCGAATTGTATGAAATACATATCCTAGATTCCATAACTAGTTACATTACATCTATACTATAAAAACTAGTACTTATCTCGTATTCAACTACATTTTCCATATTTATTTATTTATTTAAACACATAAATATTGGCACAAGAGGCACCAAGTAGATATGTATCACATAAATCATTCGATTTGTGTGAGGGCTAGGATACTCCCCGGATGTACAAACCGAAGCACGTTTTTCTTAGAGGGCCACACTTGGAGCCTTTGACCCAAAGGCTTAATCCACAAGGCAGTGGAGCAACATTAGCAGATGCAGTTCTATGGTAGCCAGTCACCAACAATTGGTTCATACACCATTTGTTCTTTCACGATCCTAGAGCCCATGTGTACCAGTGGTTTGGAATGAGGGTTTTCCAACTCCCTCAGATGGATTTTTCATATCCACCAACTCAGTTAAAGCACCGGACATTAGCTTTCCGTCCTCTTAAATTCGTAAACAACGCCCTGGCTAAGAGAAGGCAGTGAGTAAGACTTCCCCGGTTGTGGTTGTATGCACGTGGTCATTTGAGAGCATTTAGAGATGGAGAGCTGACTCTCGTCACTCCCGCACGTACCAGAGCAATCGGGGATACATTTTCCATATCATGAATATACACAAATTAACGAAGAAAAAAAAGAATAATTCACATTTACAAACCATTAGACGGTAATAAACAATTAAGAATATTTTCAGCACTAATTATTGGTAAACTACATCTTGGACTACAACGACGTAATAATATACATATTTGTATTAGAATTTTAATTGGATCAGAATATATTCGATATTGTTTATGAATTCTATTTGGATCATTATCAAAGATGTACGATTTATCCATTTCAAGTTGATTCACATTTCTACAGATAGTTTTATAAGAAGATAAAGTTGATGATGATGACGATGCTTCTGCTACTGTTGCTACTGATGATGATAGTGATGATGCTTCTGCTGCTGCTGATGATGATGATGGCGATTTGATCGTCGATGAAATTGAAGATGAACAAGTTGACAAATCAATATTTTCTTTATTAGAATATACATTTTCTATATGTAACCTTTTATTTATTAATGATGAATATGTTCTATCAACAGTATCCATGATTGTTGTTGTTCTTGTTGCTAAGCGTGTTTTACAATGTAATTGATTATATTGATTAATATTTGGATCTATTTGTTCATTATGATGAGTAGAAGATTTTACAGTTTTATATTGTGAAATAATTTTTGATAAGATAACATGTTTAGTTCGATTAAGTGGATCAGGTCCTATATAACCAATACAAATAGCATATAATGTATGAAATCCATTATATTTAATTAAAGCTTTACGTCCAGAATCTAAATAAAAGATATGGGATAAAAGAAACAATAGTAAGATAATATCTAGGGGTTTTGTGGGTATTATAGTCATTTTAATGGTTGAGATCAAGGGTCAATTGAAATTAGATTACCATGGAAAACCTGGAAACACTGGACAGTTGAAGTTAGACATTACCATTGTTGGATGAGGGCCAGCTCAGTGGTTTAGAGGTTAAATGTTCACGTGCGAGACCGATAGGTTCTGGGTTCGAATCTTGAGAAGTAGGATCGTGGATACGCACTGCTGAGGAGTCCCACAATAGGACAAAATGGCCGTCCAGTGTTTCTAGGTTTTCCATGGTGGTCTAGCTTCAATTAACTCATTTATGATTCAGTAGAGAAAACAATAAATGTGCTGTTTCTCATATTGATTTGTCATTAATGAATTTCAACAACACAAAATATCGTATATCGCTAGCGTTAGATGATAGTAGATCTGAGTAAACCTAGGTTTCATGTTCATTGAGATTTTTCAGCATAGTATACACGTAATCTTGATGCTTACTAGAAGATTTGAACTTCGTTTATACTGTTTTACCATTTGACAAGCTTTCAATGAGCTATTCAGACCGTGGATGATCTCCTGTAGAACTAGGATTTTAACAATTGACTAATCATTGAATAGTGAACAATGTTAAGTTTGTCTAATCCTTTAATAGTGACTACATTATATCAATAAAGTTTCAATGTGGTCACTAGTTCCCTTAAAATTTCAAATCAACTCTACTGACGTGTATCAGCTAACATGAAATTGTAGTACACAGTTTCTTATAGCCTAATGCACGCAATTCCAAATCACTGAGACTATTGTCCACATTGCAATTTGATTCATAACATTCTATCATTACTGAAAAACTAGATAAAAACATCACTACTTAATAACCAATCAATTACGCATAAAGTATAGAGGAAACTCTTCTCATCTTTGGAATTTATATCGTGAACCTTCAGTGTGGAGTTTTATAAGCCATCCATTATCAGTAAGTCAACATATATTAAGTATTTAGAATAGTAAAATTCTAAATAAATGTAAAAAATTATATAATACAATACAGAGCTCCGCCTGGAGCCCGTTTGAGGCTACTTCCGGTCCAATGTCCGGATAAAGGAGGGTTAGGCATGAGGTTAGCGACCCGGTCCCGTAGAAAGCTAACTCGTAAAAAAAACGCTCACACTAAACGTTATCAGGTGTTACACTAATTAATTTATCATTATTCCGGTACGATGAAAGATACATCGACAGTTAATAGGTTAAATGAAAGCTTATAATTAGAATAATATGTACGTCATAACTATAAAATGAAAACAGATATAATCGGTCGTACAAAGATCAAGTCACGACACTATAGATTATCGTTGAACAATCAATTGAATAGAACTCGTCACTATACATAAACTTCATTGACTATGAGAAAGCATTTGATAGTGTGGATAGGAGGATGTTATGGTACCTTTTCCGATACTATGGTGTACCTGAGAAAATTGTCAATATCATCAGGAATTTGTACGACGGACTACACAGTAAAGTCGTGAATGAAGAACAGACAACAGATGCATTCCAAGTGAGGACCGGAGTCAGACAAGGTTGCTCACTCTCTCTCTCTTTCTTCTGGTGGTTGATTGGATTGTGAGGACCTCAACATCGGAGGGGAAGCACGGAATACAGTGTACAGCTTGCATGCAACTAAATGGTTTAGATTTCGCAAATGACTCAGCTCGTCTACGACAGGTAACATGTATAGGTAAGCAAGTAATAAGAATTTTAAATGTTTTATCTTCTGTGAATATCTGATTCCATCTAACAGCATCATCTCAGTAGTTCTTAATAAAAGCTTTTGAAGCAGTCTATCACAATTGTATTTCATTTATAATTCTAACCAATATTACTAATACTAAAGTGTATACAATGACTTAGTAAGCGTAATGTATGATTCATTGGCGGGATTATTATTTATGGATGAATCAGTTAGATTGAAGTTATCAAGTCTTAGATTTTAGTATGAAATTCATTCATCCACATGGATAAATCATATTTTAGCATCATAGTTGATGTCAATTCATGATGAAAACTTTAATTCTAGTTCCTAACCCTAACAGGTGGTTTTCTTAGGGGGCCACAACCCGAATCTTTGACCTAAAGACTTAATCCACAAGGCAGTGGAGCATGGTAGCCGGTCACCAACAATTGGTTCATACAACATTTGTTTCCTTAAGATCCTGGAGTCCATATACACTATTGGTTTGGAATAAGAGTTTTCCAACACTCCTAAGTGGATCCTAGTAACTCTAGTGAGTAGTTAAATTATATCAAGTTCACTTAAACGTTGTTCAAACGTCATTTATAAACTATAAACTCATCGACTCATTAACTTGAATGAATATAAAAGCTTAAAACCGGTAAATTCTATTTGATACTTTATCATATCAATAATGATCTGATAGACATATACTAAAACACTTTGATCTTTCATATAATGTTGTAAGATGTATCACACTTTCTATATTGACGAAATAATCTCTTCAGCTCTCACTACTGACTGATATAAGTAGTAAGGTGAATATGGTAGACAGTAAACCTCCAAAAGAAACTGCCATACAGATATCAGTCAGTCATGGAGATAAGAGAGGTATTAGGAGGTGTAGGAAGGATTCGAATGTGACCAACTTGGTCTCGTGTGCTGTTACGGGTATGAGGGCTGATATCACTTCCCGGCTGCCCACACCGTGGAAGGGTATTTCTTGAGGAACCTGAAAAGGAAATTGGATTAGTGTTGGTCTTAACGACCTGGGAGCGTGACCGCAGAGCCCAAGGGACAGCTGCTTGAGGCCGGTCGCGCACGGCTTTTTTGTGGAAGGTTTTTGACGTGTTAGCTCCGTTCTTCAAAGGGCCTTACCGCCGGAGACGGAAATCCGTGAGGTGTGACATTTTTAGGGTCGACCTTTTCTAACCTCACCCCTCCTTGTGGGAAGGCAGCATCGCTGCAGATGCTGGTTGTCCGAGGGAAACACCTTACTGCTGTCACACCCCTCTAGTCAGCAGTACGACTTCGCCCTCAGACCTTGAGTTGCTGCTTTTAGTCTTACCGTTCACCAATAGACCTGCCTGGCATGGTAGAACCTACAGGAACATATGTTCCAGCCAATATAGCTCGGTTGGGTCATCACGATAGGCCAGCTCGACCACCGCGTCAAGGTAGCAGCTTCGGTCGGGACCATACAGATATACATATATATACACACACCCCCAAAAAGCAATGATTAAACTTTAAATTACTTATTTCTGTCAATAGTTTTAAACAATTCAACAAGCTTTTTTGTAGATCAATCCAACGCCATTGTAAATCACATCGATGTATATCAAGGAATAAATCCAATAGTAATGGGACTGCATTATTATTGTTAGCACGTACAGCATTATTTTCTGTGGAGGAAAAAAACAACAACATTGTAGTGTGTAATTATTGTTACTACTATTTAATCATTTGAATAATTAAAATTAACATATTGAATGCTAGGCCTCCATTTTGAATATTTACTACTTGTCTTATGGAATGTGCTACTACTGATGTCGACAGATATAAGTAGTATTGTAGTGAACGAGAACACAAGTGGGGACAGTCGAATGTGTTTAAATATATTACAGAATCTCTTACCAAGATCTGAGAACCATACAGTAAATACTTCATTTGCGAAATGTCCATGAATTTTCTCTGACTTCATTGTTCTTTCGTTTCCACATTATTCATTGTATGTTCTCGATCTCTTTTCTTTGATCTGCCTAACGTTGTGCTGTCAGGCATTTCACTTTCGACTGGTGATATATACTAATTATGTCTGTCGATATTAGTAGCACACACATCACACATGTCCCCCCTTTAAAACAGTCGTTCTTGTGGTGGTTCTGCTCGCCATGTCACTTTTTTCCTTTCTGAAGTCTGTGAGACACTTTGTCAAAATGTCGAGTCTGTGGCGCGTTGACCTTCATAGATTCTTCGACCTACCGGGCTATCTACATCCGACGTCCACACAGCAGTCGCATATCCAACAGCTCTTCTTCGTCGATATCACCCGCTACAGCCAACGCCGCCCCGCCAGTTCACTACAGTATGAAAGAACATTGTACAGGACTGGATCCTGTCGGTCCATCACAATTCCCAGATTGGGGTCCTAGAGATTGTGCAACACAGTGGCTAGAGGTGCTTTCAGATATGGCTCAGAATAGAAGCCAGTGGCGATCCTGCTGTAACCTTATTATACCTTCTTCATAAAAAGAAAAGATATGACTTCTTTAACTGGAAGAATCCTCTCTGTTGGTTACCGTCCCCCTTTTTCTTATACGCGCGATACATTCTTCATCTCTTCCCATTTTCATTGTTATTGTGTGGTGCATATGTATGTGTTCAAATAAATAAATAAATAATAAATAATTGTTTGATAGTTAAATGGTTTGGGTTAGAACTTAGCGATAGTGTCGATTACCTTGGTAACTGCAATTTAGAGACAAGATCGAATAATTGATACATTGAACATCATCATTTTTACTTCACCATGTCAACAACAATTACTTCTCTGTGATTACTTGAAATGTTTTGAACAGTATATAAAAGTATTTCAACTTCACGTTATACAATGTTGTTAGGTCCCGATGAGAATAATGAATGGTCACTTTTGGGATCCATTTATGGACCAATACTATACGTATATTTTTGTCGTATAATTGTTAAATAACTAAACTATTCATATTCATGTTCATCTTATTATAAGCTTTATTTTGACTTATGAACTAGTATTATACGTTTTACCATTCTTGAGTTATACCCACTATATTAATTACTACCTCCCTCATTCGCAGTCACATCTGGCTAATTCTTGTACAAATGTTGTTTCATATTTTATTAGTACGTTATGGTCTGTTTGATTGGTATATAAAGTCAGTATTTTTGCAATATAATGATTCATATCACAAAGGCTGAGACTTGTGTTCTGGACTTAACTGGCTGGGCTAGGCGGGAAGCAGGCCCAGTCAGAATTCTAGACTGTTCGCATGTGTTTTACACGTCGTGATCCGATCGATAAGTCACTGCTCTCTCTAATCGGCGGTCACAAATCATAACAAATGTATTTTAATTACATGAAAGAACCTGAAAATATTACTTCCTCAGCTCTGATTGGTTCGTCTCTAAAATACACTCATATCTTTGCATGTATTTAAACAAAAATATTTCATTTTTAACTCGAAATTGATTGACCCGTAAATTCTATTCGAGACCAGCATTATCAATCAGTACTATTATGGACAAGGAATGGTGAATGTATTTTTGATAGGCTGGAGGGGAGAGTACTCAATATACATTACATGTTTATGCTCACAAGCCGTCTCCACAAAATTGTAGTGTCAGTCACTATGTTAAGCCCATAGAATTTATTCTAACTTCTGGACAGACCAATTTATTCATTCTTCTTGAGTTACATTTTGACCTTTTCAATTATCCGCTTATCAATCTTGGACTGTACTTATTTGAGCGTATGTGTGTTCACTTCTTATTCCTATTCATCACATGTCTGTAACTTATTTTCGTGTGACTATAAATATTGATTAACGCTTGATTAAATCGAATTGGCTCCCATGCATTCTCCACCGTGCATCATTTCGCCTCATCCCTCTCATTTCCTGTCCAGATCAGTAAATATCTATTCAAGAATCCATTCTCGTATTCGGCTTATGCATTTCCGTTATTCACTAACGCGAGTTAAGTCGATAATTATATATGAGAATAGCCAGCATGTAGATTGTGACAACAATCATTCATACGATCTAATTGGAGTCAGAATATAGTCTCACAGTTTGATCGATTTTTTTTCATCTCTGATGATGGATTACATTTTCTGTCATTTATCTGATACTTAGGAAGTTTATCAAAGTATGTATCCTGTAAAACATTGAATGTTGTATTGTTAAGTGACGATCAAGTCGGAGTATGTTCATTAGTCCATTTTCCAATCAATCAGCATTAGCGAACAAATCTTAAAAAAAAATTAGATTTCCTTATATACATTTTTGTTCTAGTATAATAGGACTCCTCAGTAGTGCACCAGAGATTTTCAATTAAAAATAGAAATATAGAATCGACTGAAGTCAGACATTGACACCGTTCGATGCTGACTCAGTGGTCTAGAAGCCAAGCGTTGTTTCGCGAAACCGAAAGTACTACTTTCGAGTCTCGCATACGAGGACGTGAATGCGCGTAGCTGAGGAGTCCCATACTAAGATGAAACGATCATCTATTGCTTCCATGTTTGAAATGATGGTCTAATCTTAGATCGATTTATGATCTCAACTGTTAAAATTCTATATAGTTTTAAGCTTATTACACATAATTAGACTTACTATATTTAGTAAGACAATATAATGTATTCACTAGAAGACGAAGTAAATGAATATTACGCTTTACACCAATAGCAATCAATGTAGGCTTAGATGTAATTAATGATAGAATTGAATTCATTAAATCAGGATTATTATGTAAACCATATTCTGTTAATAATTCAAGAAATGATTGATTTTCATTATGATCAAGAGATTTCACCAATCCTTTCATTAATGATGCCATGACAACTATAATATATCTCACTGGACTATTATTCATAATTAATTCATTTTCATTTATATTGTAATCATTCATTGAGTTTTTAGTTATTTTTATAAAATTCTTTTCAGGAATATCAGTTGGTGACACGGTTGTCTTTCTTCTTGTTACCGTTGTGGTTGTTGCTGGCGGCCGGTGGTGGTGGTGTTGTTGCTGCGGACGATGAGGATAATAATGAATTCATAATAGATGATGTACGATATATATAAAGTCCAGATAATAAAGTAATTAATTGTATTAAAAGTTTTACAACACCATTACGTCCTAATAAGTATGAATTTGTTTTACCATTATCTGATATATATAAATAAATCATATGTAAAATAATATTTAAATTATGTTGTATAATGGATGAAACGGTTGGCATAGTTACATAATGATGATGATGATGATGGGGAGGATGACGATGATGACGTAACATTTCATTTATAGTATGAAGATGTTTAATATTATTTTGAAAAGAATTTGAATTCATTGTTGAATAACAGAAATTGAAATTGGATAGATTCTTTAATTGTTTATAAAAATTAGAAGGAGTTGTACGTATGGATGAATTTAATAGAGCAACCTATAAATATATAAAAACATTAGATTATGGTCTTGAGTGCTGTTAGACGTATGAGGGCGGTTATCACTTCCCGGTTGCCCACACCGTGGAAGGGTTCTTCTGGAAGTGCCTGAAAAAGAAACTGGATTAGAGGTGGTCTTAGTGACTTGGGAGCGTGACCGCAGTGCTCAAGGGACAACTGCTTGAGGTCGATCACACACAACCTTTTTATGAGTAATTTTTGTGTTAGCTCCGTACTTGTTGAGACCTTACCGCCGGAGATGGATATCCGTGGAATAAGGCGAGGTGTGCATTTTCAGGGTCGACCTTTTCTAACCCCACCCCTCCTTGTGGGAAGGCAGCATCGCTGTCATGCTGGTTGTCTGAAGGAAACACCTTACTGCTGTCACACCTCTATACAGTCAACAGTACGACTTTGTCTTAGGACCTTAGGTTTGTTGCTTTTAGTCTTACCGCTCTTCAACCGACCTGTCTGACATGGTAGGACCTTGGGGAACGGTTGTTCCAGCCAGTGTAGCTCGGTTGCTTCATCACGATAGGCAAGCTCGACCACCACGTCAAGGTAGCAACAATGGTCGGGAAAACATTAGATTAGAAATAAGACAATAAATGTGAAGACTGGGATACTGTCTGGATGCCCAAACCGAAGCAGATAGTTTCCTTAGAGGGTCAATCCCGGAACCATTGACTTAGAGGTCTAATCCACAAGGCAGTAGAGCAACGTCATGGGATGTAATCTCATGATAGTCGGTCACCAACAATAGGTCCATAAACCATTTGTTTCTTCAGGATCCTGGAGCCCATGTGTACAAGTGGTTTCGAATGAGGGTTTTCCAACTCCCCTAGGTGGATCCTCCATATCCATCAACGCGGTTAAAGCACCAAACATTTGCTTTTAGTCCTTTCAATTTTGTAAACAACACCCGTGGTGCGAGAAGACATGGCCATGTGAGAGCATTTAGAGACAGAGAGATCGGACCCTCCTCACCCTCGGCCGTACCAAGGCATTTGGGGGCCTATCAAAAAATTGGCAGACATGACTTATAAAATTGAACCAATCAGTAAAGAGCAGGTCACTTCAATGTCACAGAGTGTATACCAGAACACAATATTGTCTTTCGACCAAAGGGAATTTATTTCAATAATGAAAATATTATTGGAAACTTAAGCTAAGATAAGGAATAAGCGATAAGTTTTAAGAATACGAGTTTAGATTTTGTTTTTAAGGTTAGTATTTAAAGCTAGGAGCATCATGTATAACCGACTTTTGAATGATTGTAAAGTGGCCTTGAGAAACGTCAATCACTTACCAGGGTCAAAAGAGAGTTATAAGTTAGTGTGAGGAATTAGGACCAGACGTAAGAGTTAAGAGTGAGGGTCTTCATCACGAAATGACATCAGCCATAATGCCAGTATGTTACTTATCCATACAGATGAACGAGTTTCATGCAGAAAACCAAAAATTTCTATCTTAAATCTAATTGGTTCATCTATAGATTTTAACTCTGCTGCTTTTTAATTAGAATATAATTGTTTAGGGCTAGATATTGGATCAAGAATTAAGGTACATATATAAAGTAAGCATATAATCTAAACCAAACTGTAAAATTTGACAACAACTTTAACTGTAATATTGATTTCTACATCCCAATCTTAACTGCAACACACCTAAAATTCTAATCTTCAACACTGAATCCTAAACCTAGTATTTGTTATTGGCCGTATGATCTTATGTCATCCACGTTCACAGTCAGCAAGGTTATCAGTGAGATAATCAGGTGGCGACTGACCTTATGGGGGACTGAGACCTATTTTCAGAAAGTCAGTCACGTCCTGAATAGCTCAGTGGTAACGTCTCAGACTGTGAAGTTGGGTGATATGGTATCGAATTCACCAGGGAGTATAAATCCCATAAAGTTTACAGACACACCTTACTGGCGAATGTTGAATAGAATGAAACCCTTCTTCAAGGTTTCCTGCAGACTACTTTCGACCACCAATTTACATCTTAACATAGGTCACGCGATATCAAGTCACCTAGAATAGTGACCACATTGCAAATTGATCTGTAGAACTCGATGAGCACTAAGAAAGACTTGACATTGGTCACTATTAACTTACAATCAATCAGTTATAAACCCATTCGTATTAGAATAATCTCGATCGCTCGTGAATGAAAAATATTCTAGGTTCAAAGAGAATTAATTCTTAATCGTTTTTATTCAGGTTTAATGGTGAGAATATCTGCTTACCACTTACTTCAAGAATTAAATATTGAGTTGGGTTTTGGTCAATATAAGATTTCCATTTAATACCAATAAACCCCAGGATGACTTTATTTCAAAAGAACCAATAAAACACTAGCAACAATATATTTTTTCTAAATAACTTATGATGAAATAGACATAATAAGCCAATCCGCATAGGATGCACATAAGCTAAGACTGATAACACTTCCGTCCTGAGTATCCGGAATGTATAATCCAAGCCCCTTCTAATGAACATACAAACATTATATCCACTGAGTAGGCTGATGGGTAACTGAACTCAGTAGAGCAGTGAACAATTCATTGCGAGTTTGGAGTGAAATACACTAGGTTTGAGCCCCAATTTGGACACTGACACTGAGAGGCAGATAAATCCAACCGACCAGTCCGAAACTGGACAAAACATGCGTCCTATATTATACTGCAATTCATAGCCAATCTCTTAAACGTAAGTAGTCCTTTTTAATTATTAACGATTATAAAATATATAAATATGAAACAGGTAAAACAAAATAATTTGTACTAACTTGAATTCTTAGAAGATGGATTGTAATTGGAATACAATGGCTCACTCTTGCTCGAATACCAAAACGTTTATCCATCGGACCAAGACGACAGAGTAACTAAAGTTTCATAAAAATTGTTCAGTTCAGCGCATTATGATTGTTAATAGGACATGTTATCATTTTGTAAGTAAATTAAGATAATTAACTAAGTAAATAAAGAAAAACGATCAATATGTGTACGTAACAAACATGATGGTATATTTGGAAGAGCTTGAAAACATAGTGTAATATAATGTACAGGATTTTGAGTCACTTAGAACTAGTGGACAGATTGCAAACTAATCAACAGGATTCGATTAACACTAAATTACTAGACAAACATAACATTTAGTAATCAAACAGTTGTAACTATTTCTCAATTCTACAGGAGATCAATCGTGACCCAGATAGGTCAGTGGCAATGCTTTATTTGGTTTCTATAAATATAAAAACAAATGAACGCAAAAACATCATTTTGACAAGAACGTTAATACGTCTATTAAGCATAGCAGTTAGATGGAATCTTGGATTATGCTGACCGCAAGCAATTGCAAAAGGATTGGCTTTAAATGTATTGTCTTCTAATTTAAAAATGAAACACGACAGGACTGAATAGTTTCTCAAACTACATTTTTGTGTTTAGTTAATTAATTGCTATCCGGCGACAAACTCATTGTCATACCATCTTGATTAGCGATTGGTCTTATGAGTTAAGTCTACTGACCAAAGTTTCTATTTCGTAGCGTAAGCGCATATAATTTACTGATTGTATGTTCACAGAAAAATGTTAAAAAAGCCCTTTGTTGATCTAACTAGATTTCACAATAATAATATTAAATTCTAAGAATACTTGGAATTACTACATTTAACTAAGAACATTTTGAAAACCATTAATACATAACATAAAAAATCCCACCTGATGTATTTTTAATAAAAGTTCAACATTTGGAGTTTCTTCAGAGTATTCCATGTAAAGAGCTTGAAATAGAGCTCTAGTAATCCCTTTTTGTATTAACATTGTGATCCGGAATTGAGGCGCTTAAGAACAAAATAATTTTTCTTAACAAGGATAATAATTATTGTTTGAAAAAATTGAACATTATTATTTATGACAAAAGCATTGTATATACCATATTATTTATTAGCAATTAAATAGTAAGATCATAGGTTTAATCGGTTTGGGATATTATCCATAAGTAATGAATACGCATCTATTCATAGTGAATAATTCTTCTCAAAGATAAACTGAATATTTTTTGCAGTAAATTTTATGATAGTTTGAGAAGTCAGTGAAATCGCTGTGTCCCCAATTCGATTCGACAAAATAAACGTGCTCTTTAAAGAACATGACAGCACTAAGTCCAACATTATATAAATTAAAAGTATATATCACCGGATAGTTTTGAGCCTGATTAGACTAACTTAACGGTGTTCACCAGTTTAAGACAATCTTTGAGCCGACATGAATTGATATTTATTTGTTATGTAACCCTTTAAATAAATTTGTCATTTAACATGTTACCGACTAACTGGACAGTATTCCAGCAAATTGAGAATAAATAAGTTTATATGATGGCTAATACAAACCCCGATATCCAGCAAAAATATTAAAACCTATGTATGTTTGAACAAAAGTTGATATATTTGTCAAATGAACATTTATACTGAAGCAAAAAACTACTGAAAACTTCTACGCTTTCAGATAAAGGACGGAAGAACATGCTGCTTAGAGAATGAAACTTAAACAATTCACAATCATCTTACACTGAAAATGACCAGGTGATCTGAGAAATCTCATTAACTTGATTAGAGTGCAACTGCATACTACTATTGATTTAAATATTTAGCAAGTGACATATTTGAGAATGTCTTCCTTCTGGAACAAAAACTCACAGCTAACCATAAAGCATGCAACAAAGGTCATTTTCGTGACAACATAACATAGTTTTTATGTCCCAGTTGTAATTGCTCAGTCTAAATGAGGTGTTACTAAGTTCTATAGTACTGTTTATCAGCTTGTGCGGAAGTGTATTACAAGCAGACGTTAATATGTATCATTCATTTATTTATTTGAACACAAATATTAGTACAAGAGGGCACCAAATATATATGCTCCAAACAATATGTAAAGTAAAAACTGATGGTTCATTTAACTAAAAAACGCTAGTGAACGAAAGACTGCAGAAAAGGTGTCTTTCATAAACGTATACAAAACATGTATATGAGACTACTAAAGAGTGGAACGAAGCGACTTTCACATGACTGAATAATTAACATGAAACTGGAAAGTTAAGAACCCACAAATCTTGAGTCACAAGAAATGGAAGACACGGATGCATAATATCAAGTATATGGTAAACTGAGACAGATAAAATAATCTATGTGTGGAAAACAATTTATATGACGTGAAATCCACTGTGAAAATATCTCATTCACCAAGTAATTGGGTATGGAACACACAATAAGTATGAAAAGTATCGAAACAACATCGTTGTTTAAACTGAAAAAATAAACGGGCATGAGGTGTATAAAAAATTAGGTATTAGTAAACAGAGTGGGAGCTTTGACGACACTTATTATAAAATGCAAACCTGCTAAAACTTAAACAATCGATATTCGTTTGAACAAGCATGAAAATGTTTAGTCTACTTTTAGCATTTTGTCCCGTAAAACATCGTACTTACTAGATTTTTTCACCAATTTGGAAAGAATCAGTACAATTTGTGTCCTAAGGACCCTGTCGTTGAGAAACTAAGAATAACGGTAATATTAGTATGATACTTGAAGTGCGAAGGAAAAGTCACTAACGTAAGATTCATGTTCAAAGAGCATTTTCCGACACTTATCTATAATCAGCACAATAAATAATACGCACAAAATAATGTCATACTACTCGAAGATAACAGTGGGCTGATTTTTTTAACGTTTGCTCTCAAAAACTGCAAATCCTCCTCCTTACATTTGACAGCATTTACCTCGGAGCAGTAAGAGGCAAACAAACTCATATAACCTCTCAGCTTTTCTTCCATAATTATGTTAAGAAGTCAAACACTCGGTTGACATCATTTCAAAACTTTGCCCCAACTACGACCTGAGACTTTGAAGAACTAAAACAAACCTTATACATTCTTATGAAGAGAATTACAGAACCTTGTTGACTGCAGATAATCAGCTTTAAAAGAAATGAAAATAGCATTCTTCAGAATGTATTATTGTTTAGAGATATAACATATGTAAAATAATGTTTTTATAATATGTCAATGGAATCCGTCGTCAAAATGGTTCAAATGGTTGTGGACGGAATAGAAGAAGATTTCGCTTAACAGGCTTCCGTATCTAGTAGCAGGGGATCACGAAATCCTCCAGGCAGGAACCTGGGTATGTTAACAATAATGAGGAAAAAGAAATTGGTAAACCATAGTATGATGCTGTCCTTGGTCCTTAAGAATAGGTCAAGTTGCCTCTTGAAGGACTCCTGGGAAGTCGCCTAGACTATCTCGGCCGGCAGCGAGTTCCAGCATTTGACAACTCTTAATGAGTAGAAGTAATGTTGCTATGTTGTGTCTGCAGTTTCTGGGTGTTACCACTTAGGTTAGTGTTCGAACTAAGCTTAAGTAGGTGTTTAAGAGGATGTCCAAAAGTGTTGAGAATACTATATGCCATTAATAGATCACCTCTAAGACGCCTATACTCTTATGGGTAAAGGTTAAGTGATTTGAGGCGCTTATCATAAGGTTTAAATTTGAGTCCTCGAACTGATTTCGTGGCTCGCGGTCAGATACGCTCCAAAGTGTCCTTATCCTTTAGGAGTGAGAGAGGAAATACAATGGTTCCATACTCTAAATAGGGACGAAATTAACTGTTGAAGATTATGTGGAAAGTTCTTCCATCAAACTGGCCAAAAATGCGTTTCAATGTTACCAGTGCAAGATTTGCTCGGAAGGCATTTTTGTCACAGTTAGCATAGGACATTAAATCGTAGGGCACTAGGACTCCTAAATCTTTTTCGACTTGGGATACTACTAGAGAGGAGTTTCCTAAGTTATAACTGTAGTCTGCGACATGTCGCAGATAGAGTACTTTACACTTTGAAGTGTTAAAGAAGTCCGTTATTGTCTGCCCAACTTTGAAGTCGAGTCAGATCCTCCTGAAGCGCCTGTATATAATCTTGATTGCGTATCTCTAAAGTTTAACATCATCAGCAAAGAGTAATAACTCCGACGTTACCTGTTGAGGAAGACCATTTATGTAGATCAAGAGGAGAAAAGGTCCTAGTACTGAGCCCTGGGGGACCCCACTAGGACATTCCATAGCCTGAGATAAAGTGAAATTAACCCCAACCTTAAAGTGTCGATTTTTCAGGTATGAAGTAAGGCAATCAATTAGAGGTGGTCTGATACCTAGTCGTTTGAGCTTATTGATAAGACACAAATGGTTAACCTTATCAAAAGCTTTTGAGAAATCCAGGTAGAAGGTATCAACCTTTCCCTTGCTATCGAGGATGCTTATCCATTTGTCCACCGCAGTCAGCAGGTTGGTTATACAAGAGTAGACCTTCCTGGAACCATGCTGTTGGGGTGAGGAATTTCAGGACAGTAGATAGTCGTTTAAACCGTCGCACATCGGGGACTCCATGAGTTTTGAAGGTATTGACAGAAGAGCCACCGGCCGATCAGGCAACGTAAGATTTAGATCCAAGCGATTAGCTATCGCTAATGTATTTTTGTCCGAAACTATGAAGGTACTTAAATCTTGTTTTTTATGCGTTTTTAATTGATCTTCAATGTCATATCTCCTTTGCAGAGATGCTGAAATGTTTATTAGTTGGGATCTCAGACTGACATTTGCATAAATTCGGTAATTAGAAAAATCTATCATTGACCTTATGTCGGTCATCGATGCATGATGCAAAAAAACTGAGGGAACGATTGAAGGAATTCAGATTGAATGGAAGGAAACTAGCAAAGTATATTTAGATCATGTTTATACCTTACTCTCTCTATGTTTAAATACAAGTATTTCTAGCTTATGGAGATGTGAAATTATTTATAAGCACTAAAGTACCGAGTATAATTCATCGGACCATTGCAGAAAGAAGTTACTTAGTTCTCCGCTAAGGTCGGTAAAACTTCACATATAAAGTTTAGAGAATCTTCAACATACTCCATGAACCCAGACATGAAGAAAACTATAACTCAACAAGCACATAACGGTCGTACACCATGTTTTACGAGTATTCCAGGTCAGAGTTCATCCTGGGCAGAGCAAGGCTGAAGTACTTACCTTATTCAAGGATTTTTTGTATTCTTTCGGTCTTTATGCATCTTATGTGCATGAATAAAACCTGTATTTCTAAAATACCATGTTTTTCAACTACTGATGTTAACGAGGCTAGTCAATAAAAAGTACATAATACTACTTTGACGCACGCTATCGACTCTAGTTAAGTGATAGCAGTTGTGTGATTCCAGGTGTACACATTATTGTTAAGTCTACATCTAATCGCATTTTGAACACTAGTTCATATATGCTTACATCCAGTGTTACAAAAAAGCGAACACACAAAACTCCGAGGTCTAGTAATCTATTGACCCAGCAAGTAATACGATTTCTCAATTACTATAGATCAGGTGAAGATTATGAAAATTGGATGGAAAAAAATATGATGTCATGAGAGGTTGTTCGAGACCACACGTGAAAAAGTGACAACGGCACCTTAGTGCAGAATAACTGGGATGACTAGAGCAAATACTAAACGTAGGTGCGTATCAATACATGGACTACTATCAGTAACGTTAAATAGGAGTTAACCACATACGCTATAAGGACTAGACCTTGCTCTTATTAGTCCTGTCTGTAAAGTATCTTGGGATATAAATAAACATAGCACATCTTCGAAAATACCAGGATAATGAAAACAGATGTCGTGTTTTCAGCCAATGTTGGAAGGTTGTGAGTAAAGCACACATGTCCCTACTTACAGCACCGAACTAAAATTTTGGACAAAGAAACAGAGAGGAGTAGGTGGCCATCAACTAACGAAAATCAGTTTTTATCACTTCAAGGATTATATTGAACAGAAACAGAAACCAACGAGTTTATGATCCAGACACCCCGAAAAGGAATTTACCCAACTCCTACTAACAATCATCACTTGATACAAATATAAATAAGGATTTTATTGATAATCTGAAGTATTGTGCGAAAATATGTGAAGCAGTACACGTTCGGCGTAAAAAAAATTAACAAGAGTTTGCAGCAGGTACAGATGAGGTTGGCTTCAACTTCATAGCATGTGAACGACCAAGTTGGTAACCTGCTTCATACCAGGAGCGTAGTATAGGTTCAATAGTTGATAGGCCACTTTTCGTGCTATTAAAGATTGGTTGAGAAGGAACAGAAGGTTGAACATCACTAGGAAGATGACTGTTCCTACATGAGTGAAAACAGAGAATTGTAAACTTGTATAACAAACGTTTCAAAATAATTTAAACAGATGATAACTCCAAGTATACACTAAACGGTAGGATTTGAGATAACTTTACTAAGTGAACGTGAAAAAAATATTTCGTTTCAGAAAAGCATGACAATGCGACTATTACATTTTTCTATGAAACTATTTTTTGTCAAACTAGACAATTGGAAGAGGTGAAGATTTCTTCTCTTCGATCCGTCAAACGAATGTGAATCCTAATCAAAGTTACAAATACTATTCCTAGGCGTCAGTGACAATAATGCATATTCGCATATTTTTTAGCTTTTTCATTACGGTCTTCAGAAATAATATTCCATGTGATTACTTAATTTCCGCTTCGTTTATGGTTGAGATAATGATTTTAAAAGAGCTCAGGATGTGGAACTACGCAATTGTTTCATAGTTGTAAACTTATATTTCTACTTGTTTGTTTCGATTACTGCTTATCCGTGTACAATATATTAGCCTGTCGTACGGCATAGGAACTGTGAATTCATTTCTCAGTGTTCGAATCGTCAATATATGAAGGTGACATGATATAATTAGTTGAAACTGATGAGAAGACCAGTGATTTTATAGCAACATTCTTCGCGAGAATATCTAAGTTGAAAAAGATTGTCACACAACACAGAACACAAAAGTAGCACTGGGGAAAACTGAATTTCAACTCCATTAGTTAGCTTTCTCATTAAGCTTCATATGGTGTGCGCTAATGAGTTGATCAACAAGTTGTGGTCAATAGGCAATCTAAATAAATAAATGTCAGCAAAATGTAGTTCTGACTTATAAGAAAGTCCTTGATAGCTTTTGTTTTAGATTACCACACTAGAATTTGCCACCATCTGATCGGTCACAATTTCTGACAAACAGTTTGTCACCATCACTTCTGGTAAACAGAAGACAATAAAATTGGCTGACACAGGCATATTACGGAAGAGGAAAATGTCCACGGAATGTTCTCGTGGAAAAAAGGCACTTGTGACTAATAAATGATTTTACTAAGGGTTTATATGCAAGAGAGTATTTCTCCGAGCAATGATGTCTATCAGCACTTATGTTGTTGGTCACAAATCTAATTTGAAAGCACTAGTTAGATCTCTGAAAAATTCAAAATCATGTTTACAAGTTTCAATCAATATCTTAATAATGTGCAAATTGACATTAGAAATAAGTCGTTATTTACTATATGAAACAGAATAGAACTTGTTTGGGTGAGCCCTATATTTAGTTCAGTGAAATGGGTGTTTCTCTAAACAATTATCGAAAGGTTGGCAAAAGTTAATTTGAATATAAAATACAATAATTGGTTGAACGAAATAGAGATTTGCACAAAATACCTTGGTGAAGCCAAATTAGAAAATAATTGAGGCGGAGGTTTTAAACACGGCGGAATCCACTGGAAGTCACAAACTGGATTGCTATTGACAATGAGTGGTTGAATATTCGCTAAGCCGACATTTTCTCCATGAATATCTTTAGTATGGTGTACCTGGATGACGAAAATACACAACGATAGTCTTCCATGTTGATTCTTTCGTTTTGTTTTATTCAAATTTATCAATCACAAAATTTGTGCGCAATATTAAAGCTTCTTAACTTACGGAATCGCAATATATATATATATATATATATATATATATATATATGGTATTTATGTACCAGCCAAAGGATAAGTGCACGCTATTGGCTAAGATTCGGCTTCATTTTCTTATGAAGTTTAAATGTTTAAGAGATAATTATGTACATAATTGTAGAAAACTGTTGTTATGCGATGTCCGATCCTGAAACTGATGCACAGGCAATCTGCACGCAAGCCCAGCTGACCATCAGAGTCGGGCACGAGACATGTCATTGGTTAAATATGACGCAAACTTCTACACGACATATATATGCATGAGTCTTTGTGTAGGTACATTTGGTGTCGCTGCCAAGAAGGAGGGGGAAGGGTGCTGTTCCGCGGACGCCGTTGTGGGCCTGGATCTGAGGTACCAGTTTGGGCGGTCAGGTGCGGAGAAGTGACGTCGTGTGGAGTGTTCTGGCGGGGCGGCGTTGGTTGTGACGGGTGCTGTCGACGTAGACGTGCGGCTGTCGGGTGGACATCGAATGTAGATGGCTGAACAGGTCGCTGGAGGGGAGGCGTTGAACGTTCTAGGTGCCGGGTGGATATCGGATGTAGTTACCCCGGCAGGTCGACGGAGCTATGAAAGTCAGAGCGCCGTAGACTCGAAATTTTGACGGCGAGCGTGGCACAGACTGCAGAAAAGAGGGATGTGGTACGGTGAGCAGAACCAGTGCAAGAACGAATGTTTTAAAGGGTGGACGAGTGTGGTATGAGCTACTTACATCCTCATAAGTAGTATATAACGATGGTCAATAATAGAATGTATTTCAGTGAAAGATCCAGAAGGAAAGAACGGGAACAGAAAGCAATTGGCATATATATACGGCAAAATATGATTAAACGAAACGTAACAGACCTTCGATTTATTACACGTACTGGATGAATTTTTATTTAAATTTTTATGGAAATTTCCACTGATTCCATTGGGCTTGTGTTTTGCATTTTTATTCAGTTCTCTTGTTAATTTATCCTTAAAAAAAGAACAAAACAAATATGAAAAATACCAAAACAATTTAAAGATGAATTTGCTTCTTTATAAAAGTGATCAAGTTAGTTGTAATCAACTAAAGCCTAATACAAGTGTTGTATATATCCACTTAAGTTCCCGTACTACATTAGTTCAACAACAAAATTGACAACATGACTAGCAAAAGAGTAGAAATAATGGAGTAGCCATAATAACAATAATAATAAAAAGGACTAAACAATGAGAATAAAGTTTGGAAAGAAGGTATGAATGAAGAAATAGCAGAAATCAATCAATCTAGCGTGACTCTGAACAAATGATTTGTATTTACCTACAAGAATCAGTTCAATAATCAATCACTTGATACATCTATGTCATGTTATGATTTACCTACAACTACTTATCTTTTAATCTATAACTATTTTAGATAAAACTGCATTGAAGCAAGCGTTCACTGAGTATTATATTCGATGAAGGTTGAAGGAATGGTAGGGTACAAGATTAATTTAAGGATTACTATTATATATATTCTTTTTATCATGAGCTTTCGATTGACACACTAACTATGGTTGTATGATTTACTATCGTTAATCTGTTGCCAGTTTGTTATTTACAATCTTCTCTATTCCCAGACGTTTGATCATGTGTAATTAATAATTTTCATTTTAAGGCATGATGTAATCGGATAAATCTGTATATAAACTATGTATATTTGAAGTAGAATATTCGTGTTTTAGGGGTTGATTATTGATTCATCGACTCCAATACAAGACAAAAAAAAGGTTAGAGAATCGTGAACCAATTTCAGAACTCAGTTGTTGGCGCTGTAGTAAACGGATTCCAAATAGCGTTTTCGTCATGTGATATTAGACAATGGGTCATAACAATAAGACCAAGTGGTTGATAAATCAAATTAAACTTTTAGCCATTTGACAACCTAAACAAAATTCTATCAGCTAAGTAATATGTGATGCGATCATCCTATGTGAACTAGTTCAAGTTCAACAATAAAACTCATCAATTATATTTGGTCATTTACCAATGATGATACATCCTTATTCGAATCAAAGTAACACCTAATCCTTTTGAATCACACGTTTCATTTGTTTTGCAAAAGATTACAATGATATTCAATGTAGATTTTAAAAGATGTCTGTAATTTCAAATATATATATATAAGTATACTGATGACTGAAGGGTGAAGGCATTCGGTTTTTAACTATTAGACTGTAGGTTTTGTTGGGAATGTTAAATTATTTGATTTTACTTATTTAAACACATAAACATTGGTACAACGAGGCATCAAACAGATATGCACCACATAAGTCATTCGATTTGTGTGTGGGATATGATACTGCTTGGGTGCCCAGACCGAAGTAGGTGGTTTTCTTAAGGGACCACACCCAGAGCCTTTGACCTAAAGGTCTAATCCACAAGGAAATGGAACAACGTCACGAGATGCAGTCCCATGGTAGCCAGTGATCAACAATAGGTTCAAACACCATTTGTCCCTTCAAGATACTGGATCCCATGTGCACCAGTGGTTTGGAACCAGGGATTTCCAAATTCCCTAGGTGGATCCTCCATATCCACCAATCCGGTTGAAGCCTCTGTCGGACATTCGCTTTTCGTCCTCTCTATTTCGTAAACAACACCCATGATGCGAGAAGGCAGTGAGTAGAACTTCCCTGGCAGTGGTTGTATGCACGCGGCCACTTGAGAGCATTTCGAGAGGGAGAGCTGACTCTCCCTACTCTCGGCCGTACCAAGGCATTTGGAGGTAGGAATGTTAAATCCCCAGAACTGATTTAATAAATGTCTTAGTTTTGCAATTTTATATTGTAAATTTGAATTTCTTGTTTTCGCGTCAAAGGCACCCGTTTTCACCTTCATGTAGTATTTCCCACTTGGGAGGACTTTAAATATCATTGGTTCGTTGTCTCTTTTAATATGCTATTTTGTATCGTTTCCCTAGGACATTTTTATGCTGTATATATACGCTTGAGTTGTGCTTGTTGTTGTCGTTCGTGCTCCTGGCTGCTTGTGGAATATACTTCCCTATTCTGAACTCGAACTTCTCTCTCTAGTCAGCGGGACTGGGACGTATTGGAATAATTAGCTGATTTGATCATTGTGTCACTGAGTATTCGTTCTGTCCGCAAATTAGGAGAACTCGTGATTACATCAATCATAGCAGGTTTGAGTTCCACTCTACTCTACCCATATCAGTTTAGGCAAATGAGGTAGCATTGCTGGACTTAAAACCACCGAGATTAAGTCCCTCGAAGGTCCAAATATACAAACATGTACTTGATGAATAAATTCCATAGGTAATGCAGTATTATCGTGACGACGACGACAAAAAAACGTGATTGGAAATAAACAACTCTGTGAAAAACATATCGTCAATATAGAAGTGGAAAATCGTTTACCTGAACAAGAGACTCAATTCTATCATATTCAGCAATTAAATCTTTATCATCCCAACATGCTTCGTCGTCTGAATTAACATCCACTAATGGCCAGATCTGCTTATTACTGACGTTGGGAGAATCCATGAAGACCATTAACAAAAACGATCTGAAATGAAAAACAATCTTAATATTCTCTCAGTAACTATAATAATTTATGTTTAACTGAGGGGATACAAATTATAGAAAATATATTGAACTAAGACAAATAACCCATTACGTCATAAGTAGAGTAAATTCACAAGATTCAATAGATTGGAAAGAAGCACTAGGTCGGTGTCCAGTAGTTTGAATTTCTAACTTAAATTAATTTGCGACACTGTATAACTATCTTTCAATGTCACTGGTGAGTATTTGTCTTACACTCTACATAAATAGGGAAGCCCACTAGAAATCCGTGAATTACTATTAAAAATTAGTTACTAGTGCGCACATGTGTTATGACGATAAAGTACTTATGAAGACTGTTGAATTATGGACTGATCTAAGTAAAATGACTAGGTTTTAATAGACAGCTGCTTAGTCTTAGGATCAAACTATTCATTATTGTGAACCTATGACCCTACCAGTGATCGAACCACGGAGTTTCAAAACTATGTTGTAAGGTCCATAGTTGATGCATGATTGTACAAGGTACGGAAAAGAGCATCCTTTTTTAATCTTCAATAAAACTGCATTATAGCATTTACGAGCATTTTTCCGTTCATTTCGTGCGTCAGTGTTGCATACGAGTGCAGTTCTCACTACTAGTAACTACATTTTGATCATCTGAACCTATCTACATATGTCTTCTGTAAATACACCCACTGTATAAATAAAAATAATATATTTGTAATATCCCAATGAGTAGAAAATTGGATTTTCTGACGTTTCGTGACTTAGTGTAAGTCACTTCTTTAGGGAATAAATAACCAAACTGAAATTAATCCAAGTTTAAATAGTACAACGGAACAATGCAAGAATAATATTTGATCAATCAAAAAACAGGTCTGAACAAGTTGATGTCATGTCATTTCTGTCAAGGTGATTCATAAGTGATAAGTATGTAAATTTGTGTGTGTATGTATGTGTGCATTGTTTGAGAATGAAAACTTGTGTGACCTTTATGGTAAGAAAGGATAGACTTTAAATTTGTAATATGATAGTGTGAAATTGTAAATACGATCAGACTGAATGGTTAGGATAGATGGTCCAAGTAGGATGTATGGTAAGGCCTTCTTTTCTATTGAGAGAAGTAGGATTAAGCATTGTATGGAACGCCTCAGCTACCCTCCTTTCTTTGTAGTTGGAAAAGCCTTTTTGCAATATTTTGATATTTTTTTTTCAGCACATCCTTTCAGTGCTAAGATCTCGCTAGCCTTAAATCTTTTTAGAAGAGCTAACAAGATCATCACATCAGAGGAAGACAAACAAAAAGAACAAATGAATATAATTAGCATCTTACAATTTAATAATTTTCCTATGAAGATTATTAGAAGCATATTAAAACAAAACAGTTTATTACATTATAATAATGATTCGAATGAAATGCCTTGGATTGGCACTGTAGTCCTACCATACCGTCATGGCACAACAGAAGAAATTCAAAGAATCTTAAAACATCACAGAATTAAAGTGTATTACAAAACAACGAACACACTACGTAATACTTTAGTTCGCCTGAAAGAAAAAATCCCTTTCATGTCCACACAGAACTGCGTCTACAAATTAGGTTGTATCGATTGTGATGCTTATTATATTGGAGAGTCATCCCGCGAAATCGTGACTAGAGCCAAAGAACATATTAGGTACACAAAGAAACCTCCTAACAATCCGGTAGAATTGAACCAACTTCAAATTAAATCGGCAATAGCAGTTCATGCCATTTTCAACAACCACCAAATCGATTTTAAAAATATCAAAATATTACAAAAAGGCTTTTCCAACTACAAAGAAAGGAGGGTAGCTGAGGCGTTCCATACAATGCTTAATCCTACTTCTCTCAATAGAAAAGAAGGCCTTACCATACATCCTACTTGGACCATCTATCCTAACCATTCAGTCTGATCGTATTTACAATTTCACACTATCATATTACAAATTTAAAGTCTATCCTTTCTTACCATAAAGGTCACACAAGTTTTCATTCTCAAACAATGCACACATACATACACACACAAATTTACATACTTATCACTTATGAATCACCTTGACAGAAATGACATGACATCAACTTGTTCAGACCTGTTTTTTGATTGATCAAATATTATTCTTGCATTGTTCCGTTGTACTATTTAAACTTGGATTAATTTCAGTTTGGTTATTTATTCCCTAAAGAAGTGACTTACACTAAGTCATGAAACATCAGAAAATCCAATTTTCTACTCATTGGGATATTACAAATATATTATTTTTATTTATAACAATCAACCCAATGCTCAATTTATTCGAAATTATCAAATCAAACCTTGGTAATGACACCTACATCCACTGTAGACCATCTCAACGTACAAGTTAGAGCTTGAAATGAAATTCTCAGGGAAAATTGTCCTCTTATGTGTCATTACATAAACGAAAAAAGTGCTAGATACATCACTCACATATTGAATAGTGACAAGTAGATAGGCTACAAATTCAAAGACATAGTATACTATCTCTACAAGTAGCCTTATATAATACATCTCACAATAATGAGAATTGAATAAACATATATCAAATGTAATCAACTTCAGAATACTTTACAGTTCAATAATAGAAGTCAATTTAGTTTGACAATATTTAACGAACAAGGTTGGTTTTCAGCCCATTAATTATAATGAACTATCAGTCTGATACCGAATTCGAGTCCGTTCAAGTTCCCAGGTTAAACTAAAATGGCGACACAAAACTAACATGATGAATAGTAATAAAGATCGAAATCATGTAGTACTAGTAGCAATGATAATAAAGATGATTGAATATTGAGAATATGATTCAATAAGATGAAATGAAAAGAAAGTATGCACAAAGGAATAGCGAAACTGAAGATCTAAAGTAAGATAAAGAAAGAGTGATTGAATCTACGCAACCATAGTCGATTTTAAAGCACATCCATTTGCGATTGATACCATAGTTTGTCATGAATTCACTAATGGATAACTTCAATAGTTCAGTCAAAGGATTACAGACAACATGAGTGTTTTGATAAGCTAAAAAGAAGCATTAGGTACAAGCTTGACAAGATAGATCATGAAATATGTAACGAAATTAGACATTGAATAGTTAATTATCCATCTGAATATACTACTTAATTGATGAAATAGACACAATATGTATAATCCAAATATTATTATATCAATCCAATTCAGATTTACTAGAATATGTGGGCTTAAACACACTGAAGATTTTCAATTATTATGAGTAAACAACCATTCTGTGCACTACTACTAACAAGTAATTTGAACATCTAGTAAGATATTGGGGTTGATGTACGAATTCAATGGTATAGCGAAACCTAATGAATATGGCAAGTAACAACTTCACAATCTAATGTTTGAATTTTTATCACAATGTGAAAACAAACATTGGAAGACTCAACATCAAGCATCAGGAAAAAGTACATTAACAAACCTCCATTCAACAACAAGTTAGTCATGTTGACTGTTCATCTTACTAGAGATGAGTGGTAAAGGGAGATATGAAATGTTGTGAATTGATTCAAGGTTGAGGTTTTGCTGGTCCAGTGGTTCAAAGAGTAAACATTTGCAGTGAGACCAAAGTGGATGAGTATGGGTTGGGGAGTCCTATACTAAGACCAAAACAACTTTCCAGTGATCATATTTTTTAAGCGCTGTCTAATTTAAGTCGGTTCGTGGTATTATTAGCCACATTCAATAATCACCATAAACTCCCTGGATAGGTAGACAATTACAAAATTGGATTTCACTAACTAAAACTATGAATTGGAGATATTTCCGAGTTATTATCTTCTACACTATCCAATTTTGTAATACTAGTCATTAATTAGACTCATTTGGCTTTGAGTCAATTAATAACACAACCTAGTGAGATTCGAAATCGCGACGTAATGATTAAAAGTCAAGTTCTTCAACTACTGACTTATCATTCAACTACAACTTTATCATCATGCTCATATAACCAACACAATTTTCTTTTTATTATTAATCAACTTAACTATACACCACACAACCACACACACACACATCAATAAATGAATTCACTAAAAACACAAACAATAACTGTAAAAAATTTAGTTACTATTAAAAGAAGAAGAATAAGACGATAGAATCATTTCTTTTATTACTAATCACCATCGTTTTCCTTTTTTTTCTTCTTAAGTAACTATGTGTAGGTATCTATGCCTATAGAAATGTACATCATACACAATAGAAAACTACACATCAATTCTATATAGTTTACAAGTATTCAATTCAAAATGATGATTAGATAATGAAATGAAAACAATTTGATGATGATGATGATGATAATAATACAAGAAAGAAACTAATATCAAGTGATTAGAAATAAGTTGAATAACAAAACTAAAAAGAAAGAAAGTGAATAAAGAAGACAAGAGAAGAGAAATTCGAAAGTAAAAAAGAAAAAGAAAAACAAACAGAAATTACATACAAAATATGTGAATAAAGAAAAAAAAGAAGAGAAAATTAAAAAGAAAAAGTAACATTTTTCCTGATGATTTAGATATTAGTCATACTCTTATTATGAAATACTATCCGGTTGACCAAAATCGAAAGAATGAAAATAAAGAAGGACTCGAACAAGGAGTTCAACTGGATGATAGTCGAATGTTTTTAACAAACGTGTTTCAACTTTTAAAAGTACCATTCAATAAAGTAATAGAACGAAAAAATGACAAGATATGTTTATTGTATCCAGTTATGATTACAAAATTAATTTATTTTATAAGAATGAAACAAAAAAAATAGTGAAATAGAGAGAGAAAGAGAATTGAAGATGATCAATAAACATATAATCGGATACAATTCTCATTGTCTCTTTATTTACCACCCCGCCTCCCCCCGAAAGATACTACTATTATTGCTGATAGTAGTATTACTAATTAAATAAAATAAGAGAAAATCAATTAGATAACTATGTGTATTGGTTTAATAATACTTTAAGGTAATCAATCATGATGTAATTTCAATAATTGAGATCAATAAATCAATTGTAATTAGATCATCATGAGAAAAACTTGAAAGTACTGGATGGTTGTTGTTTTGTTCTATTGTGGAACTCCAATACTTTGATGATCTATAGTTTCAATGGATTTATGATCTCAATTATTGAAATTACTAAGAATATCCACACAGAAACCCCATCTGACACTAATCATTATTGATTGGAATTCATGTATTTCTAAATATTCACATAAGTAACATACAATGTAGAGTAGTATAAGATAGAAATGAAAATGTAGAAAAAAAATGCTAATAGTCTTTGTACATATATATTATCTGTTGAATTTATTCAATAATAACAATGATTAATATACAATGGATTGAATTTTCACGTCACCAGATGAAGCTGATGCTGCTGCTGCTGACGATGATGAGTTGTGAAGGAATTTCAGTGATTAGATTATTGTTATTGCTGTTGCAGCAGCTGCTGCTGCTGCTACTACTACTAGTATTATCATTATAACAAGACTGTAAATTAGATGTTGATAGATTATCAGTAATGGATACATTCGATTTACTTCTAGAAGTTGATAATAAATTAAATTGTTTATGAAAACGATTATTAGATTGTGTTAATACTTTTCTAGATGGTCTTATTATTGGAGTACGTGGAATAGCACGACGACGTAAAGATATTCTACCATATGGAAAATCAGTTTTTTGTAAACATGGACTATTTGGTGCTGATTTTGACAAAAGACGATCTATAATACGAAGAATAGAAAAACAGAGAAAACAATTATAAGTTGGATAATAATAATAAAATGTTAGTCAGTCAGTCAGTCAATAACAACGTAAAACTTCGTACGTACATACATCAGTTCAAATTGCCGTACCACGTTAGCACAAAGATACAACTGTCGATTCAAATCCCATAGTGATAGAGATAGTAAAAGTATAAGCAGTAATCGGAAACATTGGGGTTTGAAAATGTTATTCAAGGAGTATAATCCAGTGAAATAAATTTGGAAAGAGGAAAAAACAAGGGACATGAAGAATTCAGAAGATTAGAATTTAGGAGATTACAAAGAGTGAATGCACTTGTGCCATTGCAAACGATTTTCAGTCATGTCATTCAGGGTCTCTAACCATCGGTTGCTATCATCTCCCGGTCCCCAACCAGGTAGTTTACACTTACCAGCATGGCTCAGTTCACTTGTCAGTGACTTCAAGGACTGATGCCACGTTTTGGTTTGACCGCCCCTAACTTTCTTCTAACCATCTCCAACACCGATTAGCATTGCACGTCGTGGGAATCGGTGTTCAGGCATACGTAACACGTGACCCAACCATCTCAGTCGATGAAGATTCACAAACTTATCAACTGATTTACCAACATTTCCTAGTACCCTGTGTCTAACCTCACTATTGCTTACCCGGTGATCCCAGCTTTAAGCAAACAATATAAATATAAATATAACTAATGACATGAAAAACAATGAATTATGTGAAAATAGCGTAAAATGTACACTCTGAAAAATCATTTTAAAGAAAAGAATATTAAAAGTGATTTGAACAATTTGGATTGTGGCTAGTGAGATCTAACTGTTAGGTTACAGATCCGAATCCTGTTTCATTTATTCCAGTTCAGGTAACCGGGTAGTTTCACTAGCTATCATGCATAAAGTGTGGCTCAAAGTACTATGTACAGGGTTCTGTGCTTGGTGAATTGCATGGAAAAATATTAGTGTGGATGAAAACACAAGAAAACGATATATAGTAATCACATAACAACAATCAATAAACAAATCACCTTTATTATCGGCATTCATAATAGAAGTAATAGGCCAACAAGTATTTGATTTCGCATATTCAAACTGATTGGGGACTTCAGATAATTGCTTAACACTTGAACTGGACTTAGTCACATCGCAAACAACAGGATCTACTGTTAAGATATGCTTAAGAATGCTATCAACATTTTTTGGATGATTATTTCTCATCTCCATGGGAAAATTATCACCGTCACATGATCCTGTGGTATCAGCTGAACGTGATCTTCGTCGATGAATGATTATTGTCACAGATTGAGAATCCTTATTGATATTATTATCATTGTTATTAATTACTGAAATATCCAATAATGAATCATCATTTGAAATTCCAGTTGTAAAACATGATCTAGGTGCTTCAGGAATATCACTAGTTGTAATATAATTATCATCCTGTGAAGCACATTCTGTAAGTGGAACTTTTGGAATATACATCGGACCTGATTGTTTACTAAGGGGTGTTTGTTCGTTATTTGTCAATCGATTCCGATCACGAGTAGATTTTGGAGTGTTATTGGGTGATTCTTCATCTGGTGACAACGTCTAGAATGGCAATTTTAAGGAAAATAACCACACTCATAAGAAACAGATGGTGGGAATATTATATTAAATCAAAAAATGAATGATATGAAAACATGAATTACTAATAAATTCAGATGCGTTGTCGATGGGGATTTATCACAATTACAGACCGTTATCAGTTGTGAAAGTATTGGAAGCTAGGGAGGACCTGATGGACGTTTAGTCTAAGTTTGTAGTTTTCACCTCGATGTGGTGATCAGGCTTGAATATCATGATAATCCAACCGAGGTACATTGACTAAGACACCCATTCCTTTATGACCTACCATGCTTTCAGGTCAGTTAGAGAGCGGTGGGAATAAAAGCTATAAATTTATGGTTTGGAGGTGAAATCTCACTGCTAACTGTGTTGGGGTGTGAAGTCAATAAGATGTTCCCCTTAATCACCATCTATAGCAACCGTGAATTCGCACAACGCGGATTTAGTAAACGTCTCCACTAAACTCATTACATGGACTACCGTGCAAGTGCCAAGGTGTTAAATGTAAGCTACCTCACCAAAAACCACTTACAGAAATCTTATGTGACCGACCTCATACAGTTGTACAACTTCTAATGGCGTCAATCACAACAGATGGATTTAGTTAAAGTTCTAGACTCGTTATTTTTTTTCACTGGAAAGCCGACATTGATTTTCTTTTATAGGATTATTACAAGTCAATTTCGACATATAATTATTTTGTAACCATGTAAAAAAGACTTAGACTGTTTTTTTCTTAACCATTAATTGAGAAACGTCTAATATTCGAAAAGTATATAATTAAATTGTTACCCAGAACCATCAGTTTTATCGTTATGACCGAATCCAGTAAATATGTCAATTTCAACGAAAAATCTACTAGGTCGAAGAGTAGTAGACGATAACCAATTGAGTGAAAATGAGCAATTACATAATATTCCACAATTAAAGAACGATTTCATCTGCATTAAGAACAAATTATGGTGAATAGAGTAAGAATCTTTCAATAAAATGCCGTAAGATGAGACTATAATTCACAGAATCATTCTGATATTTGAAACTATCACTAGAGCTTTATCAGAGATTAAAACTGGTTACAAAATGAAACATGCCATTTATCGCTTCCTATTAATTAATACAGTTCCTCAAATCCACTACTGCAGCTGGGGATGAGGAAAATCCAATCGCCCTCTTGAAATACTCTTTTGTAGTCATACATTCATAACCACTACCGACAAAGTCCTATTCACCAAGTTCACGTAGGAGGGGTGCTTTTTACATGAGATAATGAAGAGTTAATGTCCGGAGATTGAACTGAGTTGATGAGTACGGAAGGTTCACATACAGATGTTGGAGAAGCCCGAATTTAAAACAACTATATTTAGTCGTCAGGATCTTGAAGGAGTTAATGCGAGTGAACTTATTTCTGATCACCAGCTGCCATGAGACAAAATCTCCTGATGTTGTTTGACTTTTTTGTAGATAGGATCTCTGAGTTGTAGGTTCAGGAAGTACCCTTGTAATAAAACCACTTGCTTCTCTAGCCTTTACGAAAAAACTAGGATACTATTTTTGGAGCCAGATTTCATGTGAATCAAATGAATAAACGATCTCCATTTATCAATGGATTTGATTATTTTTATTTTTGATAAATTTCAGATGATACACGCATAACTCTGGCAAGAAAATAAATGTTTTACTCTGTAAGTAATTCTAACAACACTGGTTCGCAGATTCTCCGCATCATTACTCCATCTAATTTCATCTTGGTAACGACTAAATAATAGTAATAACTAACCTTAGTAAAAAATTGTTTAAAAAGTTGCATTATAATAACTAACACATGTAACACGGATTTTTACCACATAATTAGTTGATGAAAGTTTGTGAGGCGACAAAACCAATCGACAATAATACAGTTGTGAAAATCAATAGAGGATATGATTAATTACATACTAAAAGTCATTTCTTGCAAAAAACTAGCATACGCGAACCGAATAGTTGTGGTAACGCCTCAGACTGTGAACTGAGTGATGCAAATTCAAATCTGTCAAGAAGTATCAGCTACACCAAGACTGCAGGTACGCCTTATTAACGTTTCAATAAGGACTAAACATAAGGCCTAAGGTTTTCTGGGGAATACCTTCAACCACCTAACACATTGCTGTTCGTATCGTGTTACATAGTATATAAATGAAAAAGCTAGGACTTCTTCTCTTTGTCAATATAAACAACACAACACTTCTATAGTTGAACATGTTTATGTATAAATACACAATTTTCGGTTTAAATAAATTAACAGAAAAAACAAACTGCTCACTAAATCGATTATCAATGGAGAGCCAGAAAAGCTAAGAGATGGGACGACAGAATTTTGTACAACTTGATTATCAGCACTGTTATTATGATTTGAAATTAAACGACTTCTTTTCAAAGGCTTGGAACATGGACTATGATCCGACCAATTATCTTCGGTTATATCTATAGGAGATATATTGTAGTCCTTTATGTGTGTTACATCTGTACATGAAGTTGAAAGAAACTGATTGTCCAAAGATAAGTTCGATTGTTGGACTGGTTCAGAATATTTATTACCGGACGAAGAAATAGGACTATTTGGTGACATTGTCATTGTTTTGGAACAGTCCAAACAGAGTGAACAAGCACCGTTCGGAGTACTAAGCACTGCTTCTGACATATCCAGTGGGGATGTAACAGGCTGAACAGAATTATCACTGGCCAACTAGCAGTAAAATTGAAAAGAAACATTATTATGATACATAACCAACAAATAAGCATGAAAAAAGTTAAAACGAGACAAATGTTTGTGTAAAAAATACAATAAAACAATGTATACAACAAGTCTAAGTGTCACAAAGCATTTTATTCAAATTAAAGACTTTGATTAGTTTGAGAATGATTTCCGTGGTCAAGTAATCTTCGTAAATATTTATATGAGTAAACGGAATGGAACCAACAAATCTTCATTTGTACCAGGTGTAATGTTTTAACTTTGTATCGTGCAAATTGCAGTGGTTACCGTACGAATAGCAGAACCGCGGATACAAGATCGTCAAATACATAACAGATGTGACACAGACAGAACAAACATGAATATGACAGAATTACATTGTTTAACCTGCATACACAGAAACAATAGCACTGACGGTTAAAAAATTTCTTAGCTAATCACAACAATTCTGATGTATACTGGGATGAAAAGATAAGCTCATAATGACATGACAGACGATGAAGTTCTCACTATGTTTGGATGAAGAATAAAAATTAGCATTTCCCAATGCAACAAAGTATCCAACAGAAGACACACCATCAGGGAGGGCGACTGTGTAGATGAAAATTTTCTGACCATAGGTACCTTTAAAGCATTATTAACGTTTAGGGATATGGTACCAGTCAAATATGGCAAATCGGTTGACGAGACTATGAATCGTCGGCTGAAATGGTCGACATATGCGTTACGTATCCTTAAACACCATCTGCCTCGACACGGGATGTTTTTTGATATGGTGATAGGTTAGAAGAAACGTAAGGGCGGTCGAACCAAAGCCTGACATCAGCCCATAAAGTGGTTGATTGTTGAAGTGGCCTAAGTTGATGGATGCACTCTACTTGGCAGGGGTGCATTTGTTTGCCACGATTAGCAGTTAGTGTTGAGTGACATGACTCGGAATAAGTCACAATGGTACACATCTTCTTATCTTCCATTAAATCCTGGGTTTCTCATAGGCTAAATTCATTCATTTGTAGACCATATTTTCAATGTTTGGTGTTTTTCACTATCGTTGATACAATTAATTCAATGCCTTTGTTACCAATCAGTTGGATTTTAGCTTTTCGTTCTTATATGATATAGGGACTTGAGCTGATGTGAATTTGCATCAGGCTCTATACTGATTATGACTAACTAGAGTTACAAGAATACATGAGTCACAACAGGATTCAGACGAGGTCTCCGCATTATTGAATACAGCAGTTTACGAATCGCAATACACGACCAAGCTTATTTTCATTGGTCACATAAAAAATACAAAGTGTTCCTATTTAATCCTCAAAACTGCCCAGTTAGGTTTCCTAGTTTTACTCCAGATTAACTGAAGTACACAATATTAGATGTCACAGAGCCTTTTTTCAATCCCAATCATAATACTTGAACACGAAACTGGCACTAACGACGAAATAGGTCTGATAAAAACAGAATAATATCCTATCAACTTACACGTGCTAATACATGTTGAGTATGTGTACGGACTTGTTCACGAGAGAACTCATTACGACCATTTGGGTTGCGACAACCGTTCGCTGCACAAGAACAAGGAAAGGATGCTCGATCAACCTGCATTATGACAGAACGAAAAACAACGAATTAATAATCTGTTTCCTACGATCCGATGCCAGTTGATACCGAACAAAAGTTAGAAACATATTTGTTGTCTTTTGAGATAATTTTTTCATTAAATCATTGGTAAATAATCCTAAAGCCACGCTAATTTTGGAAGTCAATAGTGAATTCTATGGGATGCAGTTATACTGTTTACAGTATAAGTTTAATGTGAATGATACAGCACATTTTCCATAATACACCATAAAACAGTTTATCAAGTTCATGTTGAACTGAGAGGTAGTTACAAGTGAAGTATTTATTTAAGTGCTTAGCAATTTCTTAATAATGTAATGATGATATTAGTAGTAATGAAATGAAGTATACTTGTATGAGTGCTGGTGGCGCTAACAGACAGCTTTATACAAAGAATATGAGACGAAAACTCTGACCTGAAATTCATTGAGTTGAAGCCGAATGGCAAAATTATTGTCTTACCGTTTAACTAGTATTTATGGGCTGTTAATCTATACATATTTGCAATGATTATAGTAATATTAATGCCTCTGACTTGAATAAGGTTAGTTCAACTTAAAAACAAACATATTAACTCAGCTACAAAGCAAAACTGAACTAAAAAACATGTTAGCTGAATATTATCAACTCACAAATCACCGTCATCATTATAAGAATAAGTATTTTATTTTACTTTACCATAATGATAAAAGTATTTTCGTAAAGTAGTTTACTAAATGCTCTCGAATTACAAGCTTCGTGTGTTTTACGTCTTTAATACAACTACAGTTCTTTTGCCTTTATGATACTTGAGGAATAGACTACTTATCAGTTAACATTCTTACAGATTATAACAACTAATATGGTTTTACAGAGTTAAAATATGTTGCTTTTAAAAAACAAACGAATTCATTACTTAAATGAAGCAGTATGTAAACGCTACTCTGTTTAATAATTTAAATAGAGGAAAAAACATGCCCATATAATTTTTCACGTGATCCAAACTAATAAATCATATAAACACTGTGATGATAAGTCAAACTAGCTATCACGTAAAAGCAACTAGGTTAGGTTCAGTAATAAGCAATTAGATTACATTAACTTTACCTGACAAGGAATTCCATCATCTGCGCATGAGCATTGACCAGGTATACATGAATTTTTCGGACCACAGTTGCAACCAACACGGGAGCGCATAGCCCGTATAAACGAACACACAAGACGTTCGGATTCATCAATTTCCACAACACCTAAAGTGAAGGTATGTGGAGAATATTTGTAATTTAAGGGAAATACCATAGTGACATTCAGAGTTTTGAAATAACAAAAACTATATGTTATTACCAAATTATTAGCACTCACCCGTTCCTAACAAGTTCCGACTTCAGGAATAGGGAGTAACGTTTGACCCGGCTACCTGACTACCTTACCAGTGGACATAAGTGAATCAAAGTGCTATGTCAGCTACCACTTTGAAAGGAAATAATTGAAAACTGCTGTTGCTTGTGAGAAAGTTAAGATTCCGACCGTGTATTAGGTACATAAATGGCTGAGTCCCACCGAAATCATAAAATTTACAATACGATATCCATAAGTTTATTTTGGAGGCCAATTAATTATGTTTTCAAACTGATCAATAGTAAAAAATGTATCTTGGTAGATCCCATATATGAATCAAAACGAATCATACGCAAATCGAAGCTAATTTTACCAAATGAAGGGTGGTAAGCAACGAAAGTAATATGGACCGAAGAGGTATTGATGATGAGACTTTGCAAAATTATCAAAAATAATGACTCTGATAGTTGATGAAATTAGAGCACAAAAAGACGAACCAGTGACTCACTTCAAGACTAACTAGACCGATGGACAGAGCACTGAGTATTTTTGGCTGAGTTCCAACTGCCTTGTCAGCAGTCTATCCATATCGAACCTTCATATTTCTAGCAAAATTAAAACTATAACTTGAAGCAAGGAAGTAGATCACAAGAAGCTATCTTAGTGTTTCGAGAGCACCATCTAAATGGCCAAAACTCTAATCTGAGTTTCCAGTTTGAACGCAATTTCATGTAATTAGTCTCAAGCGTTATGATTTATGAGCAAGGACTAAACATTTCTGTAACAACCACAAACAGATCAGTGTGTGACCCGTGATTGCTCAACATTTAAATAAGAATTGCAACCAGAAAAGCAAAAGAATCAAATTATCTTTTAAGCCTGATCATGGTTACATAGGACTAAGGGTTTGATAACACAAATTATCACGAAGTATAATCACTAGTTCACAGATTTGGTAAAACTAAAGGCACGGAAGCAAAGTGGTACATTTCTGTTGCACTAATTTTCTCGACACAAAACCTGTATGTGAGTGCAGAACAGATAAATTAACAGTATCAACAACGTAAAATCGGTCAACTTTAGCAGTGACAAATTAGTCGACATTAATTGTACAATTAATTTCTTCAACAGAAATTTACCAAGTTTATAGATTATGAAGCCGAAATCTACTATTAACATGTCAGAGGCTTGACACAGTCACTCAAATCGCTCCGCTAAATCATCTTACGTATATGAGATTTTGTAAATGACAACATTAAAAGCTATCATAGTAAAACATATGCGAAGACAAGAGACAGATCATAAACACTGAGTAAATACTTACCGGATGATCTCAAAAGTCTTATTCTTGCAGCTGAGTGTATAGGCATCAACTTTTCTCGCGAATTATTTTGTGTACGTTTAGATGAGTTTACAGAAGGAACATAATCAAGAGAAGCTTCAGAGTCTGTATCCAAAGAATCAAGTGAGTTGCATATATTGTTGTTGACTAAAGATTCATCCAAAGTGTGGAGAAACCTTCTTGGTGAAGGAGGGGACAAACAAGGTGGAGGAGGAGTAGCGTGAGAACTAAGAATAGCGTTGTCTGTTTGATCGACAGAATTAACCTTGTCGTAACTGATTTGCGGAGACAGTAGTGGAGGTGGTGACAAAATTGGTACACGACATGAATCACCGGGACTACGACTACATAGTCCATTTGCACGCTTACCTTTTCCTCTAATCTTATTCTTGCCACGTCCGCGACCAGATATATTGGCGACAAACTGACATTTTTGGGAGAACAGCTTTTGTTGTCTGCGTCGGAGTTTCTGTAAAATTCTATGCTGCCGAAGATCTAGCCGAGAAACACTAAAGTGTTTTTGCGCCATACCAAGAGTGCACCAGCCATTGTCAGGAATCGATGAAAAGCCTTGTTGACGTGCGAACGAATACACAGTAACACCAGAAAATCTAATAGACTTTCCAACATTATCCTTGCATTTGCTTTTTTCTTCATTGGTATGACAAGTGCTGTTATGAGGAGGAGGACACTCCTGTGAAAGATGTGTTGTGGAACAGCAACTAGATGACTGTACCGAAGGAGAACACGATTCATGATCGGTCTGCGAATTCAGGAGAATCTCAGTCTCATTGCTGGTAATCGCTGTCTTATCAACACCAATCACCGAAACCAAGCAACAATCTGATTCAACAGTCGTGCGCATTTTTACGCTTAAAGAAAATGACGAGCCTTCTGTGTACAGAACGCCTGAGTCGACCCATTCAAAGTAGCCTCCACATATATTATTTGAAGTTGCAACGTGTTAGTACTATATACAATACCTTGTTTGCAGAACCAATGTCTTAATTTTCAGTTTCAGTTTTGAAAGGAAAGGAGGCTGAGTGGCCCGTGTTAAACATGGTGATGACGGTCCCTTAATTGATGTAACTTTATTTCGAATGGGTCGACAGACGGTGCTTCAATCACGCGTTGAGTTAATGAGTTATACGATGTCAGTAGCCAATAGGCAAGTAACTTGTTCTGAACTTGTGGACATTTTTAGAGTGTCCTCGTAAGTTGTGTTTTTCGAAAGACTGGAAAAATAAATTCATACCACATAAAAATTTGCCACTAAGTAATTTAAAAACCCTTTGGTTTTTATATATGACTTCGGAAACACTGTTTAGTTGAGACAGTCGGTCATCGTACAAAGCTTCGCTATACCGAAAATCAGGTCGGTTGCGGTTTCAAGGAGTTATTTTGAAAACTCGCTGTCCCTCCTCAGGTAGAGGATAGTTGTCAGTGTCATCCAGAGTTCATACAACGGACAACACTGCCAAGTTGTGAATGACGGACAGCTGATAGATGCATTTTAAGTGAGTGCCGGTGTTTGACAAGGCTGATTGTACTCTTCATTGCTTTATGTCTGTTATTTGACTGGATTATAAAGACCTCAATATCTGGGGGGAAGCATGGAATACAATGTACAGCTTACATACAACTAGACGATTTGAACTCAGATTGCTTGGCTCTTCGATCCCATAAATATAAAAAAATTCATGTCAGGACAAACAGTGCGACGAAAGCCTCCGCGTCATTAGACCTCTACGTAAACAGGGGAGAATGCAAGATCCCCAAATACAACATGGAGAACACCAAACCCAATCACACTTGTTGGGGAAACTATTTAAGATGTAGAATCTTTCACGTAACTGGACAACATCGACAAACAAAGAGGATCTGATATAGATGTGAAGGCGATTATTGGTAAGGCAGGGGCTGCGTTCCTGCAACTGAAGAACATATGGGCCTCAAAACAATCGTCAATTAACATCGAAATCAAAATCTTCAATACAAACGTCAAGACAGGGGCGAATTTATCCGCAACGCAACCATGTAAACTTTATGTATCGCGCAGGGTCATCTGTGCGTTCAAGTAACCACAGACTTTGTCATTTCATAATGTATTTTTAATTAAATAGCTAGTTAATTTTGCTCTGTTTTTTAATTTTTATTCGGCACGTCCGACTGCGTTACACTGTACGTCCATTGCACGCTGGGACGATATCTCAAGTCATAGTGAGTTTATTCACATAGTTGATTGTTTTCAGATAGACTGTCAGTGCATGATTTTACTGAAGAAAGGTTTGTTGTACTGGGTTTCATAATCATTTCGAAGACATCACTGGTATCCACAGCCACTGAACACTGGTACAGTTGGTTATAATAATAATTGTTTTTATTAAACCAGTCGTGTTCTCGTGATAAATGTGAGTCACTGCAGTACATTCTTTGGGTGTGAGTTGAAGCCTGATTTCAGAACTGAAAACACTCAGTGTTGTGACAAGTAATTCTTGATATCTTTATTTTGATAATTTTATATGGTCAAATATTACTTTCTGAAATGTCTGTACATGGTATATCCAGAAAAGAGAGAATGACATTTCTTTGCTAACAGAAACGTCTATTTGTTGAAATTAATAACTATCTTATATCCTTTATCACTTAACCCACTTTATGTTAATTAGATTTGATCATCTGTTGAACAACTATTGGCTGAATAACCGTGTGGTAATATTTGCTTCGGTGATAATGTACGAGTAAATTTGCAGTTGTGTATAGTATCGTTTTTTACCCAAGCACTCTATTTTAGATTTCGGCTGGACAGGAGAATGAAGGTTTTAGTGGCCCGTGAATCTGACTCCTATTTAGAGCGTACGAATGATTGTATGAATGTTTGTTATCGCCTTTTCTCGTATATCATCGTCGACTTAAATCGCGTTATCCAATAACGGAATTAAATAAGTCGAATAACGAGAATTGACTTGACAATACATATATTTCGAATATGAAGCGAATAAAAGAGTAGAGCAAAATGACACGTATGGAAGATGGCTGGGAAGCCAACTCCATTTTAGACAAGCGTTACTCAATATTTATAGCCAGACAAAATAAAGCTACAGACATGTGATTAATAGGATAAGATTGGCACATACATATACGCTCATATAAAAACAGTCAAGACTGACAAGCGAATAGTTGACAAGGTCAACATATGGCTCAAGTAAAATGAATAAAATAGGATGTCCGGAAGTTAGAATAAGGTATATGGGCTTGCCATAGTAACTGGCACTACAGGGTCTGAACTAACTGTTATATCTGAGTGAAGATTAAAGTGCCGGTAACTTCTGAGATATATTAATGGACTAATATTATAAATATGTATTCCTACTGCATATTTGTTCAGTAACTAGATTATGTATATTTGTATTCCTCTTATTATAACCTTCATTTTTGACCTATAAATTATCATTATGCAAGTTACCGATCTTAAATTATACTCAGTTTATTAATTACTGTCTACCACGTTCACAGCCACTTTTTGGCTTAATGTTATCTCCTATTTTAATTGTGCGATTCGGTCTGTTTGGCTGATATGTAAACCCTGCGTGTTTGAAATAAATGATTCGCATAGTGGAAGCTGGTATTGGCGTTCTGGACTCAACTGGACAGGCTAGGCGAATAAAGGCCCAATAAGGACACCGGGCTGCTCATATCGACCGAACACCATTGGTTTAGCACAGTACGAGAGTGGAGAAGTCGTATTTCCATTGGCGAATAAATCACGTGATAAAACGCCAGACTTAAAGTCACAACACCAACCTCCACAGATATTTCTCACTTCAAACTATTTAAGCCTGAAATCCTCAGTAGGTTTTTGTAGTTAGTCATCACCCAACTTCATTTATATGGTGTTTTCTAGTTCTTGATAGCCTCTTCGGTGTATTTAGATATATTATCACAATCTACGCAGTGAGTAGAATATTCACAAACGTCGACAACCTTTACAAACTCATGTAGGAACACAAATGTTTGTCACCCCGTTTTCTGGAACACATTTTCTGTAATTAATCGTTCTAGTAGTGATGAAGCGCCCACTGAGTATATAACTGAGAGACATCCCTATTCTCTATATGAGCAACATTGACCAATTATTGATTGCAAATTAGATCTTGTAGTGACTACAAGCTTGTTGACATGACTGTTTTGTAAAGAATCTGGTGAAAATTCGTGCATAAACTGTAACTGTAGTTTTTATTTAGGGAAACTTCGACTAGGTAACTTTTAAACGAGAATATACCTTAATGATTATACTTCAGACCACACAAGCTACTTTGGTCAGATGGCTTGGAAGCAAGATGTCGATTATTTAGTAGTTATCCTTGATTTTCATTAAAGTATAGTCAACAGTAGTGTCACATAATTTATTTTCCGAAGTTATTCTCCATTGCGAATATTTTATGACCAATTATTTGACACAAGCTGATTATCGCGTTTAGCCAACCTACATGTATCAGGATATCACAGAGACTTGAAGTTAAAAACGTATTCACTGTGAGATAACTGAATGCTGAACATCACATACCGTTTTAATTGATTTTGGCAATAAACAAAAACCAGTAGACAACAATTAAAATTTTGTACTTGATTTTCACTTTCTTCGATTCCTAATTGTATCATCAAATTAGCCCAACGGGAAATATTTCTCACAGTAAGATACAATTACATATGAAAATGAATATGAACAAAATGTTATTTGAAAACGTCTATAAATGAAGTCATGTCAAGATGGACTTAAGTCTAGGAATATGTGGTGTTTGAATGTGTATTCGAATTGGGATTACCAATTGTAGCGTGGCGTCGAGTTGAGGTTAACTATGAACACCGCTACCAAGAAACACGTGCCAAATAAATCAGAAGGCGTAAGAAGCTCGTTCCAATTGACTCCATAAAATCCCCGAGAAGCCAAATATCAGAAGACAGTTAATGGACCAAGTCGAGGTTTATTAGCTGGCGATCTCGTGGCATCGAAATGATACCGAGATCGTGCCAGGATACAACCTTGGTTACAGAAGGTAACCGAATTCGCGCGAAGTTACAATCGAAGTGTAAGTATAAGAATGGAAGCACAAAATAGCTGTCATTAGCACAGTCAAACAAAAGCACGTTAAAACAAACACTGGTACAGTTGGTTATAATAATAATTGTTTTTATTAAACCAGTCGTGTTCTCGTGATAAACGTGAGTCACTACAAATGAATTAATGATGCCTTCGTACTTGTTGAACGCTTGATTTCGAATTCTAAATACAGCACATTCGTTTGTGGTTATCCAGTACTTCTTGATTCTATTACGTTGTTTCTCAGATTCTTAGTTCATACTATAATTCAAATACTTATAAATATCACAGAATACCTGTTAGATGCTCTGATCTAATGGTTTCCTTTAATGAACGATAATGCACAAAATTAGACTAAATATTTCAGATATATATTCTCCTAGTTGGGGTACGTTGTGTGACTTAAATACCACACCAGATGAGTGATTTCTTAACTTTTAACCCATTCGGATTGAATTAGGTTCAAAATTCATTCTATCTAACTTGATTTGAATAACTACGTACTCAAATCCACACAAAATTTACTGCAAAAGATCCGGTAAATAATAACAAAATACGTGTATCGACACATGGCCGAGAATCATGAAAGCTTAGGTTGATCTACATCCTTCATGTCAAATTTTGTGTCCAAAGAACAGGTGTAATAATAAAACCAACAATATTTGTCTGAACGCAGAATATAGTTCGAAAAACCAAATTTATTTCACCTGCATCTAAACGTATCAACACAGAAATATACCAAAACTATCTTACAGCTGCCAATT